TTAACTCCTGAGCAGCTAGAATATACAGTTGGTTTGGTGCTTATAGTGTCCCTTTAAAACTGCAAGCTTGAAATTTTAAGCATTATATGAATCAAATACAAGATGGGGATTGCACAGCCTTCTAAAATAGACCAACGTGGGTGCAACCTCGAAACAGTACTTCATAGAAAATGCCAATGCACTACAAGCATTTATTTTTAGCAGACTATATTAGATAGAGCAATGTTTCTGATCTGCAATTGAGGCTTTATCAAGCTTAATAAAGGCTCAATTGCAGTCCTGAAATGTTGCTCTATCTAATAAAGTCTGCTCTTGAAAACCACTTTGAGTGCACAGGCGTTCCCTTTGAAGCATTATATGAATGACACTGTAAAAGTGCTGCACTCATAAGATAAAGCATTAGTCTGTTGTTTATAATGACAATACTTTACTGACCACTTTTTTAAGTTAATTACTTATAAATACATAACACATTGGGAGTATGAGGTGGAATTTAACAAGACAAAACCTGTGATATTTTCGGTGCAAAGTGCCAAATGTTGAGAGACATTCTGTTTGTTTCCAAGGGGATTACACATTATTTAGCATGTTTGTATTATAACATTTTGACAATGAATCAACGAGTAATTCTGTCTAGGGAAAAACCAAACATCTTGCATTCTGCATCACAGAAAGGTCAACTTGGGCATACTCCAGAGCATATCAGTTTTGCCAACCACTACGCAGGAAATGTTCATGGTTTCTTACCTAGACAGAGTGTTATATACAAGAGTCCCATACGCAGGTCCAGGCGGAAGAAGAGGATAGTGTTGGCAACTTTACTGAACATGAAGATATTTCCTATGTGCTGTTCAATGGTGACTGTGCGAATGAAAGTAGAGTATAAAAAGAAAATTAAAAAGATTTAGCTACTGACATTTCATTTAACAAATGCACTTATTTAGTTTAAGAAAATCAACATGCAAGCGTAATGGTTAAATATGCATTATACTAAGACTACAGTGATACTCACTGCAGCGTCTGTTTTTCATCATGACAATAGCACTGAGGAACATTAAGATCTCCACCTCCCTCTGAAATACAAAAAAAGTCAAACATTGTACTATTGTGGCAAGTAAATGAGATGACTGGATTAGTGTGAACGAAGCAAACAATATTGCTTCTCAATGAATGAAATCAACTGTACACTGAGGAAAAGTGTAACCATGTTTACATCTTTGATAAATAAGTAAATAATACAAGTACACACACATGATGTTTGTTGTGCTGCACACGTACGTATTGAGCTCACCCCTCCTACTATACTGTTAAAGGACCACTATAGTGCCAGGAAAACACATACTCGTTTTCCTGGCACTATAGAGTCTCTAGGTCCCCCCACCCTTAGGGTCCCCCTCCCGCCGGGCTATAGGGTGAGGAAGGGGTTAAACACACACCTTTTCTCCACTGCTGGGCTCCCTCGGCGGTGGGGATTCTCTGCCTCCTTTCCCGTCATCAGCTGAATGCGCAGCAAGAGCGGCACGCGCATTCAGCCAGTCCATAGGAAAGCATTGACGCTAGCGTCTTCTCAATGTGAAAATCACAGTGAGAAGCGCGGAAGCGCCTCTAGCGGCTGTCAATGATACAGCCACTAGAGGCTGGATTAACCCATATTATCAGGATATTTATATCGGCAGACATTCTGTGCTAAGATAGAAATTAAAAGTGTATATTGCCAGAGTGACTCAGAACAGAGCGGACTCCATTTTGGATCTTCAGTCTAACAAAGACACATAATTTCTTCTTGCTTTCAGTAACACTAGCCACTAGCCTGAGCTAAGGAATGCATTATATAAACAAGCCAAGTGATAAGCAATGAAGCAGGGGGATGGAATGCTCTGTTTAAATGTTAATGGAATAGAAATAATTTTAAACACAGACACTAGTGACAGAGAATACCAAGTAATTAATTTTACAAGGTCCCATTGTAAGTAAGGGGTGAAATTGAGTTTAGAACTGTCAATTTTAGAAATTACGATCAAAGTAGTTGCCACAAAGACTGAGACAAACGCTTTGAACTGACAGCAAATTTAAGTTATGGTAGTCATTTTAGATAAGCCAAATGACGTCAAAATCGTCATCAGGAAAAGTTAACTCTTTCCTGGATGGGAAGGTTTAGTAAGGCGAGACTGCCCTCTATGGATCAAATACCTAAATTGCGATCTGCAGGTTGACCACACCTTCATTATCCTATTGGCCTTATCAACTAATGACGTACAGAGAGTCTGGCCCTTTAAAAGTTAGGATAAGGGGAAGAGAGAAAGTTTTTTGGGCATTCAGATTCGGACATACAGAGAGATTCAGGACACTCTCTGGGACTAACATTCAACTCTCAAACTCTCTTGGACACAACTCAAGAAACACTCCTTGACACTTAGAATTTTACTGATACTTTCTAACCAACACCACTTTTCTCTATTACTCACACACCTCCATACAACCAATCATACTCGCATTTTCCTGGGACTTCCTACTCATCTGATGAGAATATCTACATAACTGGTAATTATGCTGGTTTTATTTAATCTAAATTAATTAAAATCTAATAGCATGATATATGACTGGATAAATCACGGTCAGATTTCAATATTTAGAAATCTTAGTTAACTAAAAAATATATATAGTTTTAAACATTCCATTCTGCAGGTGGAATTAAGAATAATTATATATTAATGTGATAATATGACGTGTTAACATATTGCTGTTTTTATCCAGGTGCATTGATTTGCTCTAAAATAAGATAAGATATCTTTTTAAGCAAATAATTATTTTTTTGTAAAAATCTGGTAGATTATTCTTGTTGGATGGTTCCAGGAAATTATTAATTAGCTGGTTTGAATGTTATTTTAATTGAAAATTACACGAGAATAGGATACTATATGCCTAGGAGGATCTAGCCAGCATTGAAAGGGTTACTCAGTTGATTAAACTGTTAGCCTTAGGTTTTATGACTTTTCGCTGGGCTGTGTGAAGTTTTGCTTTCTTTGTACTGAGAAATACCCATTAATCTTGTCTTGACAGTTGACGCTGTAGATTGTACTGTGTCTAGCCATTATATTGCATACTTATGTTATACTAACTATTCACTGATTATTATCATGCATGCTGCCTAAAAATATTTTATTTGTCACAATAAATTATATCTATTTTTATAACAAATTGTGATTTTATTTGTATGGAATACATTTCACTTACATGATAACGATCTCTAAGATCTAAGAGATTTGAAATAGTGGGCAATTCTCAACTGTATAATATTATCATCCCATAAATATCCCCACAATATGTAAAGTTTACAGCAGAAAGCGTTAATCCTAGATGGACCTGGCACCCAGACCACTTCATTAAGCTGAAGTGGTCTGGGTGCCTATAGTGGTCCTTTAACTGGGCAGTCTAAATTGTCATCTCTTTCAACCAGGGTCCTCATCAATGTAACATTTCTGTACCATTTTTTAAATTGTCTTGTTGTCAAAGTTCCTGCTTTATAATATTGTAAAGTGCTGTTTAATAAGTTAGTGCTATTTAAATGCTGATAATAATAATACGGCTATAAGATTATAGAGAGGTTCTATGCAAATGCTGATGATAAAAGTATGGCCATCAGTTTCTAAAAAGATCCCATGCATTCTATATAAATACTAATAATAATAGTATGGCCATAAGTCTATAGAGAGATTCTACTCATTCTTTATAAACACTGATGATAATAGTATTGCTATAGGTTTATAGAGAGGTCCTATGCTTTCTATATAAACACTGATGATAATAGTATGGCTATAGGTTTCTAGAGAGGTCCTATGCTTTTTATATAAACACTGATGATAATAATAATAGTATGGCTATAGGTTTATAGAGAGGTTCTATGCTTTCTATATAAACACTGATGATAATAATAATATGGCTACAGGTTTATAAAGAGGTCCTATGCTTTCTATATAAACACTGATGATAATAATAGTATGGCTATCAGTTTATAGAGAGTATAGGAGTTATAATGGGTGGTAACTACTCCGGGGGAATAAATATTTAGCCCATATACCCCTGATGGATCACAGTTGATTATGGGACAGGAATGTGGGAATGGCCAGTAGCAGCTAGCAGACCCACTAAATAACCAACTTAACAGGTTTATCTTAATTTTATTTAGAATTTTTTTATGCTCTACATAAAATCTAAATAAACGAGGGTCAATCGTTTCCCTTTAATACAATCACGGCCTGTGAGCCCCATGTATTGCTGGAGGTCTTAGTCACACACGGTCACACACAGACTGTCTCACTGACGGTCACACACACAGACTGTCTCACTGACGGTCACACACACAGACTGTCTCACTGACGGTCTCACACACAGACTGTCTCACTGACGGTCACACACACACAGACTGTCTCACTGACGGTCACACACACAGACTGTCTCACTGACGGTCACACACACAGACTGTCTCACTGACGGTCACACACACACAGACTGTCTCACTGACGGTCACACACACACTGTCTCACACACAGACAGTCTCACTGACGGTCTCACACACACAGACTGTCTCACTGACGGTCACACACACAGACTGTCTCACTGACGGTCACACACACAGACTGTCTCACTCACGGTCACACACACACACTGTCTCACACACAGACAGTCTCACTGACGGTCTCACACACACAGACTGTCTCACTGACGGTCACACACACAGACTGTCTCACTGACGGTCACACACACACACTGTCTCACACACAGACAGTCTCACTGACGGTCACACACACACTGTCTCACACACAGACAGTCTCACTGACGGTCACACACACACACTGTCTCACACACAGACAGTCTCACTGACGGTCTCACACACACAGACTGTCTCACTGACGGTCACACACACACTGTCTCACACACAGACAGTCTCACTGACAGTCTCACACACACAGACTGTCCTCTAAAGACCCGCATGCCCTCACCCAGTCAAAGTCACAGGGGTTCCCATCCTCTCGCTGTGTCGGCAGGTGTTCGCAGACAGGGGGGACCTTCCGAATGAGGAGGAATGAGGCAGACAGCAGGGCGGAGAGCAGGTAATAGGGCTGTGAAACCCAGCGCCATAGTCCCGGAGCCGAATACAAAATAGCAAGGATCGGAGTGAGCACCGCCATGTCTCAACACACACAGTGCACCCGAACACCACCACCGCAGCAAACCAATGGCAAAGGCAGAGAGGCAACAGCCAATCGCAGAGCGCAACCCTAGTATTCCTCCAGCCAATCATAAACTACGATACTGAGGGGGAAAGAAAACTACAACCAATCCCAAACTACTCGTATAGAACGAGAACAACCAATCAGCGACAAGGATACATGCTTTTCATTGTTTATATAACAGATGTTCTAGATACCAAATACTCGCAGCGTCTCCAGTAGAGGAGCCATTTTGTAGGAGCCATTTCCGTTGAGTTTCGTAGAACCCAGGCTCCAAACGCATGGACGGTTTACATTGAGCTACAGCCAAAAGCACCGGAGACACTTTTCTATAAGAAACGCCATTTAGGGAAGACGACTTTAGCGATTTAGAGCTCGCTAGAGCTGGAAGCAGCGAATCGGCCCCGTTATATTGTGGTGACCCCGCGGGCAGCCATGTGATTGGCACGGATTGATGTTATCGCGGGGGGAGGGGCGTTGATGCTCCTGGTTGTTGACCCACGATGATGGAGGGATTCTCCGCACTCTTCGCTTCCGCGGAGCCGCCTCTGCCGTCCGGTCCGGGAGCTCCCTCCGGCGTCCCGGCGTCCAGCGGCGGGTTCGGGTCGAGCAAGCCCCAAGTGACGGGGACTGCGAACTCCTCAGTGCCCGGCCCCCCGCTGCCTCCACCGCCGCCGCTCTCCGTGGGCTCCGCCGGGGACGACTCAGCCCGGAGATCCCCGTCTGGCCCCTTCTACCTCCTCCGGGAGCTGCCGGGTGAGCGCGGGCACACAGTGAGGGGCGCAGCCCTGCCATGCATGGTCTGATACTGAGCATAGAGCGATAAATACTGCAGCAAATAGAACATAAACACTGGGACACCGGCCAGCAACTAACACAGTGATAACAAGGGGAGAGCTAAATAGGAAACCTATAAAAATAACATCTTAGAAAACAGTATAAATCTCACCCTGTCACAATCTCACCCTGTCAGACATATGGCAACACTTAGAACATTGCACAACAAAGATTTATAAAATAGTCTCTAATTTTGAAATGGTCTCTGATTGTAAAGATGTTGGCAAAATAATCCTTAAAAGACCATGTTAAATCCAGCCTTTTGTAGTCACAGCTTGGATGCACAGTACTTCACCATATACATAAAAAAATAAAAAAAAAAAAAAACACAAAAAATGTGTTAAAAATATCTAGGCTTACAACTATAAAGACCAAGATTCAGTATAATTAAAATGTTACACTTTAATGAGATGAAAAAAAAAAAAAAACTTTTAAAGGGACACTATAGTCACCCAGACCACTTCAGCTCAATGAAGTGGTCTTGGTGCCCAGTCCCTTTAGGGTTAACCCTGCCTGCTGTAAACATAGCAGTTTCAGAGAAACTGCTATGTTTACATTTGGGGTTAAGCCAGCCTCTAGTGGCTGCCTTCCGGACAGCCACTAGAGGTGCACCTGCGACGCTGGAGGCATATTATGTCTCCATCACGCAGAGCGTCCATAGGAAAGCATTGAAAAATGCTTTCCTATGGACACTTTGAATGCGTGTGCGGCACTGCCGCACATGCGCATTCCGCTCCACTGTCGTCGGCAGGGGAGGAGAGCTAAAGGAGCCCGGCAGTGGAAGAAGGTGAGTAACTAAAGGGGTTTTAACCCCTTCATCACCACAGGAGGGGGACCCTGAGGGTAGGGGCACCCTCAGGGTACTATAGTGTCAGGAAAACCGATTTGTTTTCCTGACACTATAATGATCCTTTAAGTTACAATACTGAAAAATAATTTGTAACAAATTGTGTCCAGTGTGGCATTATCTGCACATTAATATATACAAGTAATTGCTGAAGCTCATACCTTGTACTACAGCTTATTGCATTTGTTTTGGTGAGTAGAATCATTCTCTTCTGGCTTTTTGCTGTAAACCCTGTTTCAGAGAAAGGGTCAACTATACATTTTTGTGTTCCCAACCCTTTAGTTTTCCTTTAAAGGGACACTCCAGGCACCCAGACCACTTCTGCCCATTGGAGTGGTCTGGTTGCCAACTCCCACTACCCTTAACCCTGCAAGTGTAATTATTGCAGTTTTCATAAACTGCAATAATTACCTTGCAGGGTTAACTCCTCCTCTAGTGGCTGTATACTAGAAAAGCACTAGAGGGCACTTCCTGCTTCATAGCACAGGTTTTCTGTGCTATAGCGTCGCTGGACGTCCTCCCGCTGTGTGAGGACCTCCAGCGTTGCTAAAATCCCCATAGGAAAGCATTGAAAGCATTTTTAATGCTTTCCTATGGAGAGGTCTAATAAACGTGCGTGGCATTGCCGCGCATGCACATTAGGTCTCCCCCACCGGATGACGTGGTGATGGGGAGGAGCGTGGGCCGACCCAGAAGTAGCGCCGAGGGACATTAGCGCTGCCTAGGGTAAGTCACTGATGGGGTTTTGACCCCTTCAGCAACTAGGGATGGGAGGGAGAGGGGACCTGCAGCGCTAGGAAAACGATTTGTCTTCCTGGCACTGGAGAGTCCCTTTTAATGTAGTTATTAAGGTGTCTATAACCTGTCCATGCAGGCTTTGTTATGTAAACACTACCTTTTTATAGAAAAGTCAGTGTTTACACTACTTGTATAAAGAGGACAGAGTAGCGCAGTATTTTCCGGTAGTGTGTGTGTGTGTGTGTGTGTGTGTGTGTGTGTGTGTATATATGTGTATATATAACAAAAAATGAAAGTGGAAAAAATGGAGAAGTGTATATAGTTTAGTATTTTTCACACAGTGGGAGAGATAAAAGAAAGAAAAAGGAAATATACTCAAAGGTGGATGGAGCTGTCAAGACCACCACTTTTTTACGTGTGAGCTGTATAATCTTCATTTATGGATTCTTGCTGTATCTGTTGATCTATGTCATTAATCCGGGACATATAGACTAAAAACACACAGATTAAATAATATAATGTAATATCTCTGAATAATATACGGAAGGTACATTATAAAATGATATAAATGCTTACTTGTTACGGAACCTATGTAGTGGCTCTTAAAGTATAGCGTGGAGTGTTATATAAGACTTGCATTTAATTTTTTTCACATTTAAATTTGCCAGATTGGGTATGCTGCCCTTGAGACGGTGTGGTGTTTTTTTTTTAGTAGCCACTTAGTCACAAACACTGGCCAAAATTATCCTTCAAATTAGTTTACATTTTTCACACAAACAAACATGAACATTAACTACTCGATAAGTACTCAACTCATGAGCTTGTGTATATACGCACACAGTATTCTTGCTAGACGATGCCCAAGGTTTGCAGCGTGAAATTGTTACTGTATAATTATGCACGAACTATGAGTTACTGTGGTGTCAGCAAGGAACCAATTTCTTAAGGAATGATTCCATAAAATTATTGAATTCATAAGGTGATAAAGTCAGGATCTTCTAGGGCATAAGTGTATCCCCTGAACTTAAAGGCCACTATTGGCACATGGTTAAAGGATCACTATAATGTCAGGAAAACAAAGCGGTTTTCCTGACACTATAGTACCCTGAGGGTCCCCATCCCGTGGCGCTGAAGGGGTTAAAAGTTACTTACTTTAAACCAGCGCTGGGCTCCCTCTGTGCTGGTGACGTCAGTGGAGCCGAATGTGCATGCTCGGCAACTGCCAGGCGCGTATTCAAAGTGTCCATAGGAAAGCATTGCTCATTGCTTTCCTATGTACGCTATGCGCGATGGATGCGAAATTCGCATCCAGCGTCGCAGACGAGCCTCTAGCGGCTGTCCAGAAGACAGCCACTAGAGGCTGGATTAACCCCAAATGTAAACATAGCAGTTTCTCTATGAAACTGCTATGTTTACATCTGAAAAGTTAAAACCTGAGGGACATTGCACCCAGACGATTTCATTGGGCTGAAGTGGTCTGGGTGACTATATTGTCCCTTTAAGTGTCTTCGTTGGTTTTGCAAATAGGGACTTGCTATTGTTACAAAAGCAAGGGCATTTTAGTATCTGCCTCTGAAGATAAAACAAACTATGCAACATTGCAGCAATGTAGAATAAAATCAAAACTGGTAACATATACAGAATGTGAAAAAAATAACCCACTGTTGTGTTTTTTTTTTGTTTGTTTTTAAACAATGTTTTAAAGATGTATATTGTGATGGTTTACTAATAGTGATGTCCCGAACGGTTCGCCGCGGACGGCGAACATAAACATAAACTTTGACCCTGTACCTCACAGTCAGCAGACACATTCCAGCCAATCAGCAGCAGACCCTCCCTCCCAAACCCTCCCACCTCCTGGACAGCTCACTAAGGATGCAGCTTCACAATGAATGTAAAATGGATGCTGTCTGGGAGGGAGGGTCTGCTGCTGATTGGCTGGAATGTGTCTGCTGACTGTGAGGTACAGGGTCAAAGTTTATGTTTATGGTCGCCGTCCGCGGAGAACCGTTTGGGACATCACTATTTACTAATATAAAATATTTTTTTACAAATTTTTTTTTTTAATTTATTTATAATTTTTTTTTTTTTAATCTTGTTTTCACACAGGGCTTTCAGATCTGACGGGCAGTGTTAATCTCATAGTACATTATAACCTAGAACATTCCTTCAGTAAGTTCTGTGGCAAAAAAGTTAAAGAAAAGCTCAGTAATTTTCTTCCTGACCTTCCAGGTGAGTAAGATGAGAAGCTAGCACTGGTGTGGGCTATAAAAATGATTTCCTTATTTCAGAGTTGCAAGCTCAGATATCTGCAAATCTACACACTAAAATGTAGTTATTTGTTAGATGTACCCATGGTTTTGGTTTTTTTTTTTATGTTGTCAAGCGATTTGAAGAGTAAGCTATAAAGAAAAAGTAAGTTGAACATTTGATGAATATATGGCATATGATTAAGGAAAAAAGTGTTGAAGAGTATCCCAAAGAATTGCAGTTTGTCATCAGTCACAAACGGTGACAAATCAAATACAAAAACTAAGTAACACAGGTTTTGGTAAGAACTAACAAACCTTGGTCTCTGCACTTGTGGTTTAAGATGTAGGGATGTGTGTTGATAGCTGGAAACTTAAAGGGACACCGTAGGCACTGTATCTGCTTCATCGCATTAAACTGGTTATAATGTATGGAGTCCCCTGGTGCCATCATTTCTTTCAGCATTAAACAGTTTTTAATGTTGTAATGTTTTAATGCTAAACAAGAGACCCCGGCAGTCAATCCCCTCTGTGCTGCTTTGGCTAATAAGGAAGTATTACCCTGAGCAGCAATGGGCAGCTGTGATTGGCTGAGAGTGTCAGCTGACTGCTTTTAACCTGTCAGAGCTCCAACTGACGGTATGACAACAAGGAAGTGTGTAATCTCTGCGTTAGCTACACATACAGAAGGGGCCGGACTGTGGGTGGCCAGGGACTCTTATTTTGTGGCATACTGCACAAACATAGTGCAACACTGAATGGAGGGACAGTGCCAGGGCACTCCAGGCACTATAACCAATTCAAAGAGACAAAGTGGTTATAGTGACTACAGTGTCCCTTTAAGGGGATGTTTCAAGCACTGTAACAATCCCTGCTGATTGCATGATCTGTGGTGGAAGGAAGATCTTTGTCCTGTCTCATGTCCCTTATCCTACTGCTGGCAAAAGAAGAAACTGTAGTAACTTGGCAGTGCCATAGCTGATGCAAGACATTATATCTGTTTAAGAAGAAAGGGAGGAATATCCCCACTCGCCATGCTCACCAATTACTTCTTTATAAGGACACGCAGTGCAGTGTCCAAAGTTTTCTAAATTATATGAATAAAATGAAACTCAAATTTTGAATGCGTGGTTCCCAAAATGTGTATGTTTGACAAGTCTGCTGGTTTAAAAAAAAAAGGTGTTCCTGTGAATTTGTGATTTTCTTTTATTTATTTTTTTTACTTTTTCTAATCTCACACAGGAGGCTGCTTTGCATTACCAAGCAATTGATAGAGCAGGAGATACATTTAAAATCAAATTCAGTTTAAATTTAAACTGGTAAAATATGCAGAATGTTAAAAAAAAAAAACCCGCAGAGAGCTTAACAAAGTGTTTTTGGTGCATAGATAATGTCCCTGCAGTCTACGTTTTTATTTAGACTGCGGGGACATGATCTATGCACCAAAACCATGTTGTTAAGCTCTCTGTACAGGCTTACAAAGCAGCTGGCACTGAATTTGAGGCATCACAGAGCTTGCATTCCCATGTGACAAAAATAAAGATTGTGGTGGTTTTTGTTAGGCCTAGATGTGTCTTAGGGAAGACTGCATATTGCCACTATGTCTATGGCAAATTGTTCATAATTGCAGTTCACTCCAGGTAGGATAGTAAAATGCTGTCCCCTTTAGGTGGTATGTTGGTTCAAGGCACACTTTTTTTAAGTTGGCTTTGGTGTATGTTATGCATATTGTCTTTTGGCCACAGATTCTTTTGATGTTTTGTATCATGCTCAGTGATGGCATCCTGGATATTTCCTAGGTATGATTGATACTCCAGGATCTCAGGATAACAGCAGCTTGCGTTCATTGATTGAGAAGCCACCAATCTGTGGAAACTCTTTCACCCCGCTGACAGGCGCATTGCTAACAGGATTCAGACTTCATGCTGGACCGGTGAGTTTTGCACATTGGGTTTTGGAAGGGAAAATTATGTTAACACCTTAAGGATGGAGGCAATTGTCCAAGTTCTAAAACAAAACTTAGAATTTGTGCTGTGTTTGTTCCACCGTAATTTAATTTTTTCTGTTTAATTGACCCCATACATATTGCCAAATATTGCTTTTTTTGATTTTCACGTTTTAAAGGATAGAAAGGGTTTTCTTTTACTATCCTATATGCATACCCAACACAAAATTAAGTGTAAATAAAAAATAAAAAATCAGGGGGAATACAAAATTATTTTTGCCTATAATCATTTTTACACATCAAGTGCAACTAATGAGGAATACCTCTAGCTAGATTCACGTATCAGTCCTGATTGTTAAATGCTTCCTGTAGTTAGGATCTAAATGTTTGGTAGTGAACACTAACCCTCTAACAACACTCCCCCTAACTATAGCCATACTCCTACCTTACCCTTACCCCTAACCTCAATCCTATACTGTCCCTAAAATGCATTAACCCTTACTCTACGTCCTAAGATAGTTGAGAGGCTTAAGCCAAAATTCTATATATATATGTTGAGACCATCTCCTATGTGAAAATAATCTATTTATGACTGTCACCGTTTCCATATACACATTCCTTCTACTACATCTGAATCCATTAATGGGACACCCCCGAGTGTTTTGATGCCTAGTAAGGATAATTTCTTCTTAACGCAAATATGAAGAAAAGAAAATGTACATTTAAATTTAAAGGAACACACCACTGAAAATGTCTTTTATTTTGCTTTTTTTCTTTCTATTGGGGTATATTTAAAAACGGCAGGCTCCAGACACACAAAGCACCACAGCAAGCTGAAAAACAGAGCAAGATGTTTAGAACTATAATAGTTCTTATAGTGCAGCCATAGGCAATCTTCTGCACTCCATATGTTTTGGACTACTCCTTCCATGATGCTTTACCAACATTGTGGGGGATGCAGTCCGCAACATCTGGAGTGCCGGAGGTTGCCTACCCCTGGCATAGTGCTACTAACCACTTGTTAGTGAAGAGGAAAAGGTGATTGCAAGAAAGGTTTTCCAGTTTTTGCAGCACCTCTAAAAAATGCTCCCCTTTTGTTTAATGGACTGTTTTTCCATGTTTTTGGATGAACAGCATAAAAAGATATGTGAAATGCTGAAGTAGATTGGCTTTTTTTTTGTTGTTATAACTAACTAATAACATCTGTTTGAATCAAGGGGTTTTGAGCATTACCAGCTGAAAATGAAGAAAACTTTAATTTATTCGTGTATGGTTTTTTTCCTGATTTAAGTCTTTTATCTATTAATATGGTCTCTTTATTTTTCAGCTCCCAGAACAATGCCGTTTGATGCACATACAACCCCCAAAGAAGAAGAATAAAAAACACAAAACTAGGACACAGGAACCAGCACCCCCAGGTCTGTGCTGCTCCTTATAATTTTATTATTTTTTTTTAAAATTTGTTTATTCCTGTTAATAAGTCTTTACCCATGTTTTAGAAACCCCATCCGATTCTGATCACAGGAAAAAGAAGAAGAAGCAAAGAGAAGATGACCCAGAAAGACGTAGGAAAAAGAAAGATAAAAAGAAAAAGAAGGTGAGCATATATATGCAATAGAAGAAAAAACAAATGGGATACTCATGGGTGGGTGACCATTTGCTTTTATGAAAAATGTACTTTTTTGCTCTCCGAAAAGGCAGTGTTTACATTAAAAACCCTGCAGTAACAGGCTATAGACACCTGAACAACTACATTAAGCTGTAGTTATTCTGCTGACTGTAATGTTCCTTTAATGTATGAAGGGGCTAATTATTTTGTTTACAGGCTGCCTGTCTAATCCAAGGAAAAAATAATTTACGGTAAGTAAAGTGTCTGCTTTTCCTCTCCAAGAAATGTAATATTGATGACATGCATAATCCTGTTAGGGCTACAAGTAATTCTTCTAGCTTTATATTTCTAATCTACAGCTCTGTCATCCTTTTTACCTAACATATACTACCCGAGAGATTTAAATGTTTTATTTATTTCTTCCCTTTTATTTTTAGAGTCGCCATAGCCCTGAGCACCCAGGAGCAGCAGGTTCACAGAGTGGTCTTCGCTAAATGGCTGTTGTGCATATTACAAACCCCTTTTTACATTGTTTTCTTTTTAAATAAAACTCACTAATCTTTACCAAGTGTTTGCCACTTTCCTGATTCATTTTATTCAAAACCACTTTATTGACGTGTAACAATCTAGGAAGATACACAGGTGAAAATCCAGATATCATTAAAGGAAGATGGCAAGCACCACAACCACTACAGCATGCTGTCATGGTTATGTTGCCATATGTGCGTTGGTTCTCCCTCAACGGTAAGTAGTCAAACTGATTTAGAAACCCACTTACCTGGGTTCTGCCAATTGCTGCTCTACTCCTCCTCTGCAGACTTTTGGTTTTCTAAAGAGGAGATGGAAAGAGGTAAGAAGTTAAACCATTCTAATACTGATTACTTACAATGCGGGGGACCCCAGGGCACTCCTGGTACCATAACTGGTAAAGCAAGCCTCACCTTTATTAATATTTTTCTTAAACTATTTGCTGTAATCTAGGGTAGATTCAGAATTTCATGACTAACCCTGTATATAGGGTATTCACTAAATTCAATTTAGGGTTACAGGGACACTATAGGCACCAAAACACTTTAGCTTAATGGAGTGTTTTTTGTGTATAGACCATGCCCCTGTAGTCTCACTGCTCAATTCTGAACCATTTTCAGAAGTTAAATCACTTTGTATATACATCCCTCATCACACCCCCTTGCATGGCCTTCCTTAACACTTAAGAGATAGAGATAGAGATATATATATATATATATATATATTGTGTGTGTTTAAACTTCCTTTATTGCACATTCTGTTTAATTCACAATTGCAGGAGTCTTATTGTGTATGTAATTTAAAGTCCAATTTAGAGAGTAGGGAATAAAAACTTCTAAAGTAAGTTAACATCTGGCCGACCATTCAACTTTCCCCCCATGCAGGCTGTGTAAGTTACAGCCATGAAAGGTATAGCTAGGGCTGCATAAACAGAAACAAATGTTATTTTACTCCTAAATGACAGAAAATTGGGCAGGGAGACTGCAGGAGTGTGAGTTATACACTAAAACTGCTTCATCAAGCTAAAATAGTTTTGATGCCTATAGTGTCCCTTTAATTCAGAGAATCGTACTAATTGTTTGTTGATGTTGCATGTGCAGATATAGCTAGAGATTTTGTGTGTGTGTGTACACACGCGCGCTTGTGCTCACGGTTTTTGAAGAAAATAGAAACTTCTTTATTGGGAATTAGTACATAAAATCACCTTAACGTGTTCATCCAGAGGAAAGCATCGAACAAGGGCTGAAATGTTGATTTGATTTTTTTTTTTTTTTATAATTCTTTATTTTTGCAGTGCTTAGGTTTAACACACACACTTGTATTGCCACGACAGCAAGTACAAGTCGCTGAAACAATACATATTGAACAGTATCATGGCAATTATTAACAGCACTTTTTTTTTTTTTGCAAAGCTTAGTAAACAGTATGGTGAAGACATAGTTAACTAGCAGATAATACATTCTGCAATGGCATTCAGCGAGATCATTCGGCTGTAGTATGATAGATAAGCCTATGTTCAGTATGTGAAATAGATATAACACAGGAAAGCCCTTAAACAGCACTTTTTTTTTTTTCTTTGTGTAAAGCTTAATAAACAGTATGGTGAAGACATAGTTAACTAACCGTTAATACACTCTAAAATGGCATTCTGCAAGATCATACAGCTGTTGTCTGACTGATAAGCCCATGTTTAGCATTTGAAACAAAGATAACACAGGAAGGTCCTATGAAGCGTTAATCTGATAAGTGAAGAATGGCGATGCAAAGAATCTAGACTTATACCAGGGAGAGACAGTGTGATTTATGAGAAGAGCGACAGCAGGGCATGGAAAATAAAGGCATAGGGCATATGCTGAGTAGATGCTAGTTTACGCTGCACATTCAGGATTAATTGTCTGCTGGATCTCCGCTCTGTATCCTGCCATTGCTCGTGAGTTGTGCTTGCCTAACCCCTGCACCTCTCTGTGCGAGCTGTGTGTTGGGTGTCCAGCTGGGTGTGTAGCTGACAGAGAGCAAGCCAGGGGAGGACAGTCCCTATTTGATGCGATGGAAACATGCTTGTGTGAGTGTGTGCCAGCAGGCAACAGGTGGGACCTCTGTGTGGGTTCTGTGTGGGGTCGTTCCTAAATTGAACTGTGTGATAATCTGTGAGCAGGGTTGCTATATGCTGGGCTCCACTGTGTCCTCACCGTAGAAATCACACTGTCTCTCATGTTCCTCTGCATCGTGCTGCTGGGCAGGTTATGTAGCAGGGCTTGCTGAGTCCTCCAATCTTGTGGCTCACCCGCCTCCAACCCGATGTTGTTGTGGCTTGATGGGGGGGGCTGGTCCGGTGTACTCCACACTGCCAGCCCTGGGCTCTGCTTGAGCGACCGCTTGTGCTCTCGGTTCCGGTTCCACTTCTGGCCGGTAACGGGCTGCCTGGCTGATGGAGTGTGCTTGGGCTTAGGGCTGCGGTTCGAGGAATGTCCTCTAGGGGCTCAAGGCCCAGGAAGGCTGCTGCGGAGACCGGATCCAGGTTCCGGGTATGTGAGCCGGGTAAGCCAGGAGTTTGCAGCAGTGTGTGGCAGGGCACTGTTGTTGCGTTCCCATGTTGCGAGATGACAGGGCTCAGTGTATCTTGTTGCCCGCCAGCGGTTTGTTCACTTGCGTCTGGCTGGGGCTCTCAGGTTACCGTCCGCGCACATGGCACCCGCCATTTTAGGTGTGGCAGTCGGGTTCCCCGGCCTCAGTTGCAGTGTCGCGGTCAGGGCCACAGGGTGAGGACCGGGATCACCCCCCCGGCCCAGAGGGGGGGGAACGGAGCCGGATCCGTGCTGGTCTGTACCCGTGGCTGGGTTCCGTGGCGCAGGATAGTGGGGCAGCGGCCGTCCGCCCCACTCACCGCAGGAGAAGGCCCCGGTTGGGGCAATGTGTTTTTCTCCCCTAGGGGACTGAAGCTCGGTGAGCCAGCCTCTCCCCAGGTCCAGCAGTCTCACAGCTCTGGGTATCTGCTCTGGCGGTCTGATTTTAGGTGGTGAGGCATGATTTTAGAGAGTAAATTTTGTTTAATTGCAGGAGCTGCTCAGGCTTGCGACCGTCCAGCTCGGCGGTCCGGCCCCGCCCCGTTGATTTGATTTTTATGGATTAATTCCCAATAAAGAAGTTTCTATTTTCTTCAAAAGACTGTGAGTGCAAGCCTTCTTTCCATTGTATATTATTTTTGTCTTTTGGCTATATGCACCCGGCTCCCACATTGGAAGGTTGGTCTGAGTGCAAGGACACAGGCAATTTTTATATATAAATACCTTGTGTCCCGCACTCGAAGCTCCCAGTCTTGTCTATGCCTTGGTGCAGCCTCCGGCCTTTGTATAAAATACCTCGATGGAGAGCACTCATAGGACTTGTAATGATGATAAGATGCTTTTATTTCAGCAAAAATTCATAAATCAATAGTGTCAACGTTTCAGTTCAACCGGCCTTTTTTTCAAGGCAAACTATAAGTGATGCATAAACTGTTTAAATATACATTGCTACAGTGTTCAATGGAGCAGGTGCTAAGGAGTATATTGAGATGCCCAGAGATTGCACGAAAGTGGTTGCTGCGGCGAGGTTAGTAATGGTATAATACTTTTGATTTATGTCAACTTGTAGAAGGTGAGCGGCCTTTTTTGCAAGAACGTTGTTATCCCTTAGGATCTTAGTAAGTGGTCAAAAGAATTGTCTACACTCCACACTGGTACCTGAGAAGTCCCCAAGAATGCTGCCTTATCAGAGTACTACTGAAACTGCTGCAAAACATATTTCGAGGCCTCACATGGGGCTCTAGCAACTTTATTAAAGCTCTTAAGAGATTTGTTTGCCTGCTTGAGAGACAACAATGTGGTAAATGCAGGAGGAGGTGCATGGTCTGAAAATGCATGAGGATAGATGTGTAAATCTAATCCCGGAGGTTTTCACAAGAGAAAAACATCATTTTTTTTAATTATTTTTTTTTTTTGAAGGTCCATCAGCCAAGCTATTACCTTTTACTTGGGTAACGTTCCGGTACACAGGCGCTAATGCTGTTTATCCAAAAGAAGGCAAACAAAAACAGTTTGACAAGATTCCAATTTGGCAACAGACTAGGAAAAAATTCCACTTTGACCCCAGTATGACCGTCCGATATCTCCTTGGATAAAGAAGCAATTAGCCCACTAATTAAAAATGATATCCCTGAATAGTATGTTTTTGCAATTATTTATCCAATTGCTGTTTAACCCCTTAAGGACACGTGACATGTCATGATTCCCTTTTATTCCAGAAGTTTGGTCCTTAAGGGGTTAAACATCTGCATAATCTCTGATCAAACCACCACTTCAGGCAGAGATTCCTCATCCTTATTGTTCTTACTGTAAAAAAAATCCTTTCCTTTGCCTTAGACTAAATCTCCTTTCTTGACCTCTTGTCCAGTGTGTAGTCCTGTTTATTAATATATTTCCAGACAATGGCTTATACTGGCTCTGAATATATTTGTATAATGTTATCATATCCCCTCTGATTTGCCGCTTTTTCAAACTAAAGAGATTTCAATTTTTTTATTTTTTTTTGTCAATCTCTTTTTTTATTTCGGTGCAAGCAAAGTACAGTGTATATGCATCGACTGCATATGGTATATTTTGCAAACATCACGAACATGTGCAGTATAAACGTATAATGTGTGTGAAAGGCACCATTTTCTTTTTCTTTCTCACGTTTTAAACTAGGAATGCTATAACTAGTCTGAGCTGCAGATGGAGCTGGCATAAAGTAAAACGACAGTTGTATGTTAAATGCTTTAGGCAGAGTAGATTGTTGCTAAGAGAGTAACTGTATTAAATATGCTAGTGGTAGTGTGTGTCTGGTCAGATAGTCCCAAGAATAGTATTAGAGAAGTAACATGTTAAGCTGATGTTGCATGAGTGGCTGTATTTCTAGCTATACATGCTAAAAGGGACTAACAAAGTGAGGTATATCACACTGGGGGGATATACAAGAGAAAGTCCGCTGGATCCTGCAAGGGTCTGGTACCACAGTAGTGGTTTACAGTAGCGTGCGCCAGACAGCCAGTCCAAGCTTAGCCGATGCCCACGTGTAGGAAGTTCATGATGGGGACAGGGAATTTAATAGAGGCCACGGCACAGTGCGAGCAAGACGGGACATCCCCCAGCAGCGGGCCAGCATCTTTGAGCCACGGACCTGGAGACTCAGGGAGACCTAGTCCATCCCACCTCGTGGGTGACAGGAGGCCCTGCTGGTAAGTCCCCGCCTATGGCGGGTATCTCTCCGTCGGTGTGGGTGATGCTTCGGGGTTAATACCCTGGGGGGCCTAGGCTGGCTGACCTTAAGGCGAATAGGCTGGCTGAACTTAAGCCGGATAGGCTGATGAGTAGAGATCAAGCCTGAAGCGGGTCCCTTCACTCTCGGGCTGACGTCCGTCCGGACTCCCTCAGTCTGCTGCTGCTGTGTGGCTGCTGCACGGCTGTCCAGCTTGGCCCCAAATCGCGTGAATAGCTCATCTGGCCATTGCAGAGACTGCTAGACAAAGTTGAATGGGAGCTGTTCTGCATACTGTGGTGTTGCCTTGGCTCCTTGTGTGGAGTGTGGCTGCTGCTGATCGCGCAGTGGGAGTTTGGAGTCTGACTGGGGATATTCCCCACCGGTCCGGGGGGGAGAGGGGAGTATTGTATGTAGTGTATTTGCCGTGCCGTGCAGGGTTGAGTGGAGTGAGTTAGTCGGCCGCATTTCCCTTCCACATGCGTTAGTAGGCCGCAACCTGCTGCTGCGGGTCCCGTTAACCGAGGGTCTTGAGAGTGGTCTCAATTGATTCAGTGTATCAGTTAGACCTTTCCAGCTTGGTAACTCGAGATATCTCCGATGAATCAGCACCGATCGCAGGAGCTCGTTTGATGCACATCTGGCTAGCTAAAGCTGCAGGCTCCGCCCCCAAGAGATTTATATTTATTAACATTTCTTGATAACTAACATGCTTTATTTCTTTTATTAAATTTTAGCCTGCCTCTGCACTTTTTCTATTGCCATAATATCCTTCTTTAGAGCAGGTGCTCAAAATTGCACAGCATATTCAAGGTGTGGTCTTACCAGTGATTTATAGAGAGGCAAAATTACATTACTGAGAATGACAATACCTTACTGGCCTTAGCAATTGTTGATTGACATTGCAAATTGTTGCCTAGTTTGTTGTCTATAACAATTCCCAAATCCTTAATTCACTACCATTTAGGGTGTAAGTTGCTTCTGCAACTGAAGGGTGGCCATTGGGTGATCGTAGAGAGCTTTCAGTGCGGTGATGAAGGGTTTTGGAAAGCAGAATTTTCTTAGGATAGTGAAAAGAAAAGCCCAGACTAAGTGGTCAAATGCATTTTTTAGCATCCATTGAGAAAAGAAGTGTTTATCTGTTTGTGTTGGGCTACCCATATTAGGTCAAGTGTGCGCCTGGTGTTGACACACACTTGGCGTGTAGCGATGAAGCCTACCTGGTCAGAGTGGATGAGTTTTGGGAGGAAGGGGTGGATCCAGTTGGCCAGTAATTTTGGGAATAGTTTGGTGTCTACATTGAGAACAGATATGGGGCTGAAGTGTCCAGGGTCAAGGTGTGTTTTGTTGGGTTTGGGAATAAGGCAGATGTTTGCCCTGAGCACTTCCAATGGGAGGGGTTCTCCCTTCAAGAGTGAATTGCAGAGTGTGGTGAGTTGGGGAATTAGGGTAGTGGAGAACATCTTGTAGCAGAGACCAGAGAAGCCATCTGGGCCTGGGCATTTATTGGGTTTCAGGGTCTTCAAAGTGTTAGCTACTTCTTCGTCTGTGATCGGGGTAGATAGTCTTTTTAGAGCATCATCCCTCTGAGATATGTCTCTGTTGCGGCTTGGAGTTTTGTTTGGTTCTGGCATGCTCCTGGGTTATGGTCATAAAGGGACGAAATTTTTTTCAAAAAGATTGAGGCGATTGTCGAGAGTGTTGCAGATGCGGCCATTGGGTGAGGCAATTTTGTCTATGTGTCTGGCTTGTGCCCTGTGTCGAAGCTTACGGGCGAGAAGGGTGTCTGCTCTATTGGACTTATCGTAGAATAGTTGCCTCAACCATTGTAGGGCTTTCTGGGAGTCTTTGGTCATGTATGATTTAATGGCTTGTTGGTGTAGCTTGATCTGGTTTGACAGCTCAGGGGTGGGTCCTCATTTGTGTTTTGTCTCTGTATCTCTGAGAGAATTGAGGTGTGTTTTAAGTTCCTCCAGTCGTTGTTTTTTGTGTGCTGTAGCTACCTCTATCAGTTTAGCTCTAATCACAGCTTTGTGGGCTGCCTTACTAATGCCAACTGAGGGGACAGAGTTTGTGTTTAGTGTGAAGAGAGATACAAGAGAGAGGGTGTTGGTGGGAGAAGCAGTTGATTAAGTGGGGAGGAAAGAGAGAGAAAATAGAATAAAAGGAAAAAAAGGGGGGGGGATAGGAAAGGGAGATAGTGGGAGGAGTAATCAGAAGGGAGGTATGTGAGGTAGTAGTGAAAAGCTTACGTTCTGTGCGCCAGGTAGTGTTGGGAGGGGTCTCAAGGCAGCCCTGGGGGTTGTTCGAGTGTGAAAGTGGTTTCCCAGTTGGGAAACAATTAGGGTGAGAAGAAGGAGAGCAGAGGAAGGGTTTTCACGTCCCCATCTCTCCCCCTCCCCATACACAGTATTCAGTGTTTTGCCCACGGAATATTTATGAGGTCTCAGAGTGGTACTTGTGGCGTAAACATTCCCACTTGTGAAAAGTGTGTTGGGGTCGGTGTAGTCAAATTCCGCACCCTCGTGCAGTTAGGACGGGTTATCGCTAAAGGAGATATAACGTGATAACTATAACAGTAACTAGAACTTAAAAAAACTGAGTAACTATATAGTGTCCCTGGTTTAAGGAGCCTGGTCAGAACCTCATGACCTCAGGTGTGCCCAATTTGCACCCATGACACCTGTGAGTGATGCTTTCGTCCGTGGATGGTGTGTCTAGTGTGGTGGTAGGGGCCGCGTCAAGTTCTGGGAGTTATGGTAAAGGTTGTCTTAGAACGGTTGGTCTGGTCAGGTTGCTTCTTGTTTCTTATACGAGTGTTGTCTTTTTGTTGTCCAAGTCAGGGGCATTTCAGTGTTCTATCTATTGTGTGGGGAGGCTGGTGCTCATGGAGGGTGGATGTTGATTCTGATAGTGATTAGATTGCATCCCCTGAACCTCACAGTGTAAGTGGGTCCCTGCGTGAGGATATAGTGTTGTTCGATTCTGGGTGGCTGTTGTCCTAGCGGGTTTGTGTGTGTGGGGGTAAGGGGTTGAGGGCTTGTCCAGTCTCGGTGAGTGTGGCGATGTGTTCCCATGTCCCCCTACCTCACTGCATGCATAGCACCTAGGTGGCAGGATAGCATAATTAACCTGAAAGCATAACATTACAATGTAACATATGTAGTCAGTGTGGCGTCTGTTGCTACCCCTAAGCCGGGATAAATGGCCCTTGCTTCGAAGAGGAGGCAATGTGGTCTATGATAATTAAGGTGAGGTTTAGAAGGCCTCAAGGTTATACTGAGGGGGAGGTCATGAGTGGGTCCTAGGCATTGTCCCCCATTTCGCTTAGGCCTTTCCAGGATGGGCAATTGCGGTGTAGGCTACCTGAGTTGTTGTGGTTAGGTGATGTGGGAAGGTTTCCCCCGGGGCGATGAGCCTGATGTTTACAGTGGCAGTCAGTAGGCAGGGGCTATAAATTTCCACAGGGATCCCGACCTTTACCAGATCTAGTATATAGTCAGGGGGACTCTGTATAGTGTACCGTTGACCCCCATTTCCGAAGGGAAGGATGTTACATTCAGGTTGCACTCATATGATGTGCCTTCCGGGGGGTGTTAGTCGATTGTCCTGGCCTGGGAGCTAAGTCAGTTTACAAATGGATGGGGTCAGGTGTCCCATGTCAGGTGGTCTCTCTAGGACCCCTCTAGAAGCCCCAGCTAGAAGGCTCGTTAATAGATGGGCATTCTGTAGGGCATTAAGGGAGGGTGGTTATCCCTCCAAAATTGCGCTAGGTGGTGCAAATACAAGTGTCGGCCTTGGGACATATCATATAAATCATGCAAGTCATACAAAACATTCAAGTCACCATATGGGTGGGAGCCCAGATGTATAGGATGAGGATCGGTCCAATAGCATTAATAGATGAACCTATAATGCGTTAAAAGACCCAGTGGGTAATTGAGCGTTTGGGACCTTAAATGTAAGATAACATTGAATAGCGATAAGGATTGAGTCGGGGAAGGGTTTACAGGTTGGCCACATGGCGTGCGGAAGAGCGTGGCGACCAATGGGGTCTTTTCTTTTCTTCCCGCCGCCCATCTTCGTGGAGGTACAGCGGGGCAGTAGTTTTTGTTACTGACCCCATTAAATTTTTTAGGTCACAGGTTCATTAAACACACGTGTAGTTTATCACCATTCAACCCTGCCTTTCAGACACCCATTCACTTTACTGTGATTATGTCTCAGCTGTATACTTCATGCAACTACTTATGCAGTCTATGTTATTAAACAATATAGGTGTAACTTCAAGACAAAGATGTACATTTTATGCCTAGTGCAAGTCTGCTATTGTCTTTTGTTTATTGTGATGTATACACTCACCTACAAAAATACAAAGACATCCTGCAATATAATATATTTGACGACCAGTTAGGGTTTGTCCTGGGTCAGCAGGGAGTTCTATAGTTTGTGGATGAAACATTCTGTAGTTTATGGATGCAAAATCTTTTGGATCAACAGCAAAAAAACATATGTGAGGAAGGCTGAACTTGATGGACGCAAGTCTCTTTTCAGCTATGTAACTATGTAAAAATATATATATTCAAACCCAGAGAATAGAGTGGGGTTTGTGGGTTTGTCGCCCTTTGAGAAATTGTGTTTGGGCCAAACCACAAGTCTATATCTATATGCTACACCCTAATAATGAGCTAAATCCCTAACTGTAATTACATCCACACATATCGGGCTGCAGTAAAGGAACTTACCGTAGATAAGACATTAGGAGAGAACTGGAATGCACAGCTCATGGCTTGTGCCCTTATATGGTGTACTTTTATGTCAACTTATATACAGATGGCACTTGGTACCCAAGAGACAGTTGCAAATAAGTTCCAAATATTTAGCCACATGCTGGAAGGGGTTTGAGACGTTCTCCATACATGGAGGGGAGTAGACTGGGGAGATTGAATTTTGTTTTTTTAACCTTTTTAATGCTACCTGGACCAAGAAAAATAAGTAAGTAATATTTAGTTTTCAAGTCTACATGAATTATCTCTATTCCTATGTGCAAGACTCTCTAAATGTAATTTTTTTTTTTTTTTTAAGTTTTCTATCCTTTTTATAAAAACACAATAACTTTGATCCCCCTTTTTTTGGAACTCTGCCCTTTTTACAATTTTATAATGGGCCCACTGAAAACAGGTGCCAAAGATAGCACAGCACATTCAATGTGGGGACGTGTCATTGCTTTAGAAAAGTAAAATTCTAAGTGAATCAATTAATGTTTTTATGCATGACCTTATCTTACTAGTCTTTGCAATAGCAAAATGTATGGCAGTTTATACCCCAAAGAACCAGAATGAAAAGGCTTCTAGTTTGTGTAAATGCTTCTTGATCCAATGCTAAATCTGACTGACATTTTGGGGTCAAGAGTGAATTTTTCCCCCCTAGTTTGTTGCAAAATTAGAAGTGCTTCAAACTGTTTTTTCTTTGCCTTCTTTTGGATCAACAGCAAAAAAAACTAATATGAGGAAGGATGAACTTGATGGACACGTCTCTTTTCAGTATATGTAACTATGTAAAAGAATGTTATCTTTGGCTTTATATTAACAAAGTAACAAGATTAGGACAGAAGGGCATCATTAGCCATGGTCACCATCTTTGCAAGGTTATTTTTTCCCTCCAAGTACAGCTAGGGAGGCCAATGGCAGATTGTCAGCAATGCTGCCCATGCATTATGGGTATTGCAGTGCTGCAACAGGTTAAGAACTATATTTTTAGCCAATTCCAAAAAATTGTAAGGAAGACATTTTCTATGCACACCTGTAGTTAAGATTATAGAAAGGAAGTATTTTTTGAAGGTGCCTGGCAGCAATACCCCAAGCAGTTTTCAAATAATTGACGTAAACATTGTGGAGCCATATAGTAAAGGACCACTATAGTGCCGGGAAAACGTACTCGTTTTCCTGGCACTATAGTGCCCTGAGGGTGCCCCTCCCGCCGGGCTCTGGGGAGAGGAAAGGGTTAAATCTTACCTTTTTTCAAGCGCCGGTCGAGGAGCTCTCTACCTCCTCTCCGCCTCCGATCCTCCTCTTCGGCTGAATGCGCATGCGCGGCAGGAGCTGCGCGCGCATTCAGCCAGTCTCATAGGAAAGCATTTACAATGCTTTCCTATGGACGCTAGCATCTTCTCACTGTGATTTTCCCAGTGAGAAGCACGCAAACGCCTCTAGCGGCTGTCAATGAGACAGCCACTAGAAGCTTCAGAGGCTGGATTAACCCATTTATAAACATAGCAGTTTCTCTGAAACTATGTTGATTAAAAAAAGGGTTAATCCTAGAGGGACCTGGCACCCAGACCACTTCATTAAGCTGAAATGGTCTGGGTGCCTAGAGTGGTCCTTTAAGTAAATGTACTGCCACTCCACAACAGAGAGCAGGGAGTGACCGTCAAATACATTGCTGTCAGCCACTCATAACTATGTATTCCTTATTCCAAAAAAAACATAGAACAGTCAGTCAATGCTTCCAATTTAACCCTTCATTTGCCAGATATAGATGTGTACAGGGGAAAGGACACTTTTCTAGGTCCCCACACAACAGATGGGGCGAAAAATAACCAAAGTGTATGGATGACATTCAATACAATATATTCTTAATTTTTGGAATCTTACATTTAAATCCACAAACTGTAAGCACTTTCCAGTAAAATACCTCATAACATTGGCTCATACAGTTGGTATGATTCATCCTGATGCCGAGCAAGCACGCGCCCATCGCAGCATACCTGTTTTGGAGGCTTACCACTCCTGTTCTGGCGAGAAGGGATTTGCAGTCGGCGGACACAAGCTCTGCCTGGGGGGGTTGAGACGTCTACCTGTGGGGATGCTCTTGAGCTCTCTGTGTGCTTGCACCACAAGGGTCTCTGACAGTGGTGGAGGTCGGGACTCACCCTCAGTAGGAATAGGCTTCAGCTTTGCTGTATTACTCATGATCACTCTCTGACACTCACAATATCTTAATAGCAATCTCAGAATATATAATTATATATATATATATATATAAATTTTTTTTTTTTTTTTTTTGAAGATTTGCGCTAGTTGAACTAGTGGTTTATATATCTGTATTTCTCAACAGCTCTATGCTTCAGCTAGTCTTCTCACACTCTGCCTCACCTCACAAGTGGTCATGGTCTATGTTGATACCAATGACAAAGTAAGAGGAAGATGGAAGGTCCTAAAGAATGATTTCATGGAATTAGGGAGCAAAGTTAAGAGAAAAGGACCTCCAAGGTGGTATTCTCTGAGATATTACCTGTGCCACGCGCTTCAGTGGAAAGGCGAGGTCAATGCGTGGCTGAAGTCTTGGTGCAGGAAGGAGGGGTTTGGGTTTTTAGAGCACTGGGCCGACTTTGCGCTTGGGTACAACCTTTATAGGAGTGATGGGTTGCACCTAAACGGGAGAGGGTCTGCAATGCTGGGGGATAGGATGGCTAGAAGGATGGAGGAGATTTTAAACTAGTAGTAGCAATCTACAAAATGGAGCTAAGACAGAAAGGAGATGGGCTTTAGTTCAGTATAAGGGGGGTGGAGGGGCAAGCTCAGAACAGAGAAGGTATGTAATGTTGATAATTCACAAAAAGTACAAGTCACTCATGATATTAAATGTATGCTTACTAATGCAAGGAGCCTAAATAACAAAAGGGGGAACTAGAGGCAGTAGCATACACTAAACAATATGATATAATAGGCATAACAAACATGGTGGGATGAGACACATGACTGGGCAGTTAACTTAAATGGGTACATGTTATTAAGGAAGGATAGGAAAAACAAGAAGGGTAGTGGGGTGTTTGTATGTCAACCATGAGTTAAAGTCAAATCTTAAGCAAGTGGAATGTGATGAGGAAAATGTGGAAGCTTTATGGGTAAATATCTGCTTGGGGGGAAAAGAAGGGAAATCAACTATTGGTTGGGATATGTTACAAACCACCTAATGTTAACATTGACGAGGAACAACAGCTGTTTGAGCAAAGGGCATTTAAATCGGACAAATCAGATGCATCTTATAAAAGATATAAGGAAGCCAATAATGCGTGCAAAAAGGCGATTAGATTTGCTAAACTTCAAAATTAAAAAATGATAGCTAAAGAGAGCAAAACCAACCCCAAAGCATTTTTTTTTTTTTTAAGTACATAAATTCTAAAAAAACAAAAAAATGAAAGTGTAGGTACACTAAAAACTGAAACGGGGGTGTTAATGAAGACCAGGAAAAGGCAGGAATTTTAAATAACTATTTCTCCTCCGTATATATTAAGGAAGAACCCATAGCAATAGATGTGCCAATGATTGCTACTAAAACTTGCAGAATAATTGTAATTGGTTAACTCAAGACAAGGTGCTGCAGCAATTAAAGAAAGTTAATATAAACAAAGCTCCAGGGCCTGACTGTATCCATCTACGAGTACTTAAAGGACCACTATAGGCACCCAGACCACTTCAGCTTAATGAAGTGGTCTGGGTGCCAGGTCCATCTATGATTAACCCCTGCCTGTTATAAACATAGCAGTTTCAGAGAAACTGCTATGTTTACAAATGGGTTAATCCAGCCTCTAGTGGCTGTCTCATTGACAGCGGCTAGAGGCGCTTCTCACTGTGAAAATCACAGTGAGAAGATGCCAGCGTCCATAGGAAAGCATTGAGAATGCTTTCCTATGAGACTGGCTGAATGCGCGCGCTGCTCTTGTCGCGCATATGCGCATTCAGCCGATGTTGGCAGAAGGAGGAGGAGATTCCCCAGCGCCGAGGGAGCCCAGCGCTGGAAAAAGGTAGGAATTTAACCCCTTCCTCACCCTAGAGCCCGGTGGGAGGGGGACCTACAGGGTGAAGGGGACCCAAGGACCCTATAGAGCCAGGAAAACGAGTATGTTTTCCAGGCACCATAGTGGTCCTTTAAGGAACTAAGTGTAGAAATAAGTGAACCTCTGTTTTTAATCTTTCAAGATTCTTTTCTTTCAGGAAGTGTTCCGGAGGATTGGAGGAAAGCAGATGTGGTTCCTATATTCAAAAAGGGTTCAAAATCCTTGCCTGGAAATTATAGACCTGTGAGCTTAACTTCTCTGGCTGGGAAAATATTTGAAAGGTTATTAAGGGATAATATTCAAGAATTCCTTGAGAAGAACATGGTTATCAGCAAAAATCAGCACGGTTTTATGAAGCACAGGTCATGTCAAACTAACTTGATTGCGTTCTACGAAGAAGTAAGTAGAAGTATAGATCAGGGTGTTGCAGTGGATGCGATCTATTTGGATTTTGCCAAGGCATTTGATACAGTTGCACACATTACATTAGTGTTCAAACTCAAGGAAATTGGTCTAGATGAAAATGCTTGTCCTTGGGTAGAACATTGGCTTAAAAATAGAGTACAAAGAGTTGTCATTAATGGTACATTTTCAAGCTGGACAGAGGTGGCAAGTGGTTTCCCTCAGGGTTCTGTTCTGGGACCCCTTCTATTTAACATGTTTATAAATGATCTTGAAAAAAAAGCATTGAAAGTCATGTTTCAGTGTTTGGAGATGACACAAAACTTTGTAAAATAATACAATGTGAGCAAGATATTACTTTGTTGCAGAGGGATTTAGATTAGACTGGGGGACTGGACACTCAAATGGCAGATGAAATTTAATGTTGAAAAATGCAAAGTTATGCACTTCGGCGTAAAGAATACACAAGCAACGTATACCCTTAATGGAAGCGAATTAGGGATAACAACACACGAAAAGGACTTGGGAATTGTTATAGACAACAAACTATGCAACAATGTGCAATGTCAATCAGCAGTGGCCAAGGCCAGTAAGGTATTGTCATGCATGAAAAAGGGCATTCATTCTCGGGACGAGAATATATTTTGCCTCTTTATAAATCACTGGTAAGACCACATATTGAATATGCTGTGCAATTTTGGGCACCTGTTCTAAAGAAGGATATTATGGCACTAGAAAAAGTGCAGAGGCGGGCTACAAAATTAATAAAAGGAATGGAACATATCAGCTATGAAGTAAGGTTAACAAATTTAAACCTATTTAGTTTAGAAAAACGTCGCCTGAGAGGGGATATGATAACATTATACAAATATATTCGGGGCCAATACAAACCATTGTGTGGAAATCTATTCACAAACCGGACTTTAAGAATAGAGGTCATGCGTTTAGACTGGAAGAAAGAAGATTTCGTCTAAGGCAAAGGAAAGGTTTTTGTTTTTTTACTGTAAGAACAGTAAAGATGTGGAATTCTCTGTCTGAAGAAGTGGTTTTTAGCAGAGTCCATACAGATGTTCAAACAGCTACTAGATGCATACTAGCAAAAACTGAATATTCAAGGATATAATCTTTCAATGTAGGGCAAGAACTGCTTGATCCAAAGATAAATCTGAGGTGAAGAAGGAAGTTTTTTCCTAGCTTGTTGCAAAATGGAAGTGCTTCAAACTGTTTTTTTTTTTGCATTCTTTTGGATTAACTGCAAAAAACAAATGTGAGGAAGGCTTAACTTGATAGACGATAGACGCAAGTCTCTTTTCAGCTATGTAACTATGTAACCTACACAAAACTATGTTCATATAGTTTATCTTCTCTACTAAAAAAAAGTGCAGTTCCCATGACATTTCATGATATGGTTTTCTGTCGTTAAGGTATTCTGTGAAATGTTTGTGTACTCTTGTCTGATACATAATGCAAAACAAAAATAAACATACAAAAAAAAAAAAGTCTTCATAGAGGCTCGTGTGTGTGACCTGTGAAAACTCAAGAGTCGAGTTATGGCTGCAGCATGTGTAACTTGTGAAGAAGACGGAGAGACTTTGCTGGCAGACAGAGAACATAAAGTTCAACAGTAAATACTGTAAAGAGGTCCAATAATAGATCTTGTGTGAGTTAACAACTTGCTATACTTTTTGCAGTACGTGTGTTTATGACAGCCCTTTCTGTTGTGTATTTTTTTGCTTTGTTGATGGGAGTGTGTATGTGTTACTAAAATCATATGCCTGTACATTATGGGTTAAACCTTGTCCTAGGAATACACATTGGCCTGTTTTCTCTTAGGTTTTGCCCATCCTTGCATTCTATTTCAACAGAAAATACTGTGAATCTCCACATATCAGTTACTGGGAGGCAGAATAAGAATAAAACAAATGAAGAGAGGGAAAAGACAATGAGAAAAAAAGATTCAGCAAAGGACAAATTAGATGAACACCTACAAACAAAAAACAGAGAAATGTGCAAAACAGAAATAAAACAAAAAGGTTATATCTAAAATACAAAGAGGGGCAAGAAGAGCACAGGAAATGCAGAGACATAATAGAAATTGGTTGTGAAGGAGGAAAAGAAAATAAGGTGTAGTTGGCAGAGGCAAAAGAAAAACAAAAATGTATTTTTTCCTGATAGTCCCCCTGTACATATGTTGGAATAGGATAAAAATGAGATTCAGTTTTGACAACAAAAACATCAAGTATAATGGGGACTACTGGATAATGAGGTTTGAATAAAGTAATAGTGACTAGACAAAATCTTTTAAAAGTACTTATGGTTTGTTGTTTTGTGTAACAATAGGTCTGCAAATAATGACCTACAATGGAAAAGTAAGCAAATCAATGTGTTTTATAGCATCACTTGTTTAAATGTAAATAGTTTATTTTTAACAATTTACAAAATGCAAAGTGAGCGAACAGTAGAAACTCTAACTTTATATCAATTGATGTGACCATATTTTGCAATCATAACAGCATCAATTCTCTAGGTACAATTGCACAAACAACAGGGATTTATTGGGCATATAGTCAGATGCATGATTAAACAAATATACCCAAAAAGGTGCTAATGATCATCAATTTATATGTAGATTGAAACACAATCATGAAGTAAAAAGCAAGAGCTGTTCAGGAGGAATAAAACTGGCTGAGGAACAACCAAACTTTGCTAACGAGGTGAAGGCAGTTTAATGTCAGTTAAAGTCATATCATGGCAAAACTGAGCACAGCAGCAAAACACAAAGCAGTTATACAGTAATGCACCAACGTGTCTCCCAGGCAGACATTTCAAAGCAGTCAGGAATTTCTAGGTGTGCTGGCCAAGTCTTCTAAAGAAGCACAAAGAAATGGGCATCTTGCCGCCAAAAAGACATAACTCTGATGTGAGAAAAAGGCTAAGCAACTCAACTATGCACGATAACACAAGAACTGGGGTGTAAAAATAAAAAAGGAAGCAGGTGCTCTGGAATGACGAGTCCAAATCTGAAATATTTGGCTTGTACCAGAGAGCAGTTTGTTTACTGAAGGCCTGGAGAGTGGTACATGAATGAGTGTCTGCAGTGAAACAAGTCTGCAAACTTGGGACTGCATTTCTTTAATGTATTTGGTCAGAATGAATGGTTTCATCAATGCGGAGATGTACAGCATCATGCAGTACCATCAGGGAGGCATCTGATTGGCTCCAAATTTATTGTGCAGCACCACAATGACCACAAACATACAATCACAATCATTAAGAACAATCTTCAGCGGGGGTAGGGCCTGACTGCTGAACAAAGCAGAAGTGTACCACTGCAGCTCCTGCTCTAAGCTGCAAACATTGCAGATAAAATCTTAGAGCCTCTACTCGACTTCTAAGGGCCACTAGGCGACAGGTGACATGGGGAACATGCTGACACCAGACAAGTGGTTCTTCCTGTAGTACTTACCTGGATGCTGTTTGCGGCCTACAAGCATGGTCAGCGTGGGGAAGGCGGCCGATCCCCCGATGCTACACATGGTTGAAGCCCGGAATCAGGGCCCTCGTGTCCACCCCCCCCCCTTTGTGGACTGGTGGGGATTATCATGGTTCCCATAGTGGTACTTGCCCGCTACCCTGTGCAGGAACCAGCAATACCTGACATGTGGCCTTACTGCGACCAGCAACCCAAAATGGCCGTGAGGCAAAGCAAAACTCCCACGCCCTTTAAAGGGTCCTTACCCATTTTGAGCGGAAAAGGCAAGTTGGAAGACTTCGAGACCAAATCCTGGAGAGAGCTCAGAGGGGGACCAGTGGGTCTGGCGACATAGACCGTATAGCAGCCTGGGGCTGGTGGGGTATGAACGTGCAGTACTTGGGTTTGCACCGCAGACAGGACAGAACACACAACATGTTAGGCATTGGCTAATTAACCTGTCTACCCTCTAATGCTTTTCGTGCCTCAGTTTAGCCGGCTCTTTATATTATGCTGCTTTTAAGGCAATACTGTCTATAAGTTAGTTTCATATGACACATAATGCTGCGGCTGGCACCTGGCGGTACTGATTTTCTGTCAAGGCTACCAAACTGGTGTAACTTTTCATGCACAACTAAAATAGAAAATTATAATAAAAATTAAGAAAAAAAGAACAATCTTTACCAAAACAAACAAGGAGCCCTGGCATGATCCCCCAAGACTGTAAGCAAATGTACTTCGACGAATTGATGCGGTTTTCGAGGCAAAGGTGGATTCACACAAAATTCTGATTTGATTTACACATCTCTTCTGTTCACCCCCATTTCAGAATTATAAAAAGATTGAGGGTTATTTCAAAACAAATCATGCATAATGAGACAACATGGTGTGAAAAACAAGGAGTGCAATATACCCTTCACACTGCTACGGAACATTTATATTGATATGGCACAGCAAAGATTTTAGTGTTCACCTGGTCATTTCACTCCGATATGTACCTTAAACATGATGCTTTTCCTTTTTACTCTTTGTGGAGTAAACAATTTAAATATCTTCGGATTATATCAATTTCCAAAACATCCATTTATCTAAAAATATTTTTTTGTATGCATTAGCCCAAGTCGTAAAAAAAATTAAAAATAATAATAAATATATACAATACGTAAATGTAATTCTGATATTGATGCAGAACATAAAAAAGACATACTGCATGTTTCCGCATTTTGGTCTTTTATTCATTTTTGTAAATGAAATAATAAAAATGAAGGCACCCTCCCTCAAAGTACCCTTGTCAGGGAGGTGGGGAAGGGAGATTTATTGCCTGCGCCCCAACTGTAAAATAATATATATATTTATATGTATTTATAAATTTGTGCAGATCACATCCCCTCTCAGATAAAGAAAAATAAAAAGTATAAACATTAAAAAGAGTAGTGCCCCCACTATCCACACATCATAAGAGGAGGAAAAAAACTTCCTACTCCTGAATCCTCACAGGATAACCTGTAGATATATCATCAGTAACGGCCAGATAGGGTCATTAATCCTCTGGTGATGCAGAAAAAAAAAAAAAAAAAAATCAAAAGCACTGTGGAAAAGGGAATTACTGATCTGTCATTAACAAAGATCACTCCCCAAAAAGACCACAAAAGTAAATATTTGCCAGACAAATACTGCCCTGCGAGTCCACTGTGGACTTGTACTATCAAATCGGATTTATGTGGACAGAAAGGGGGTATTAAAATCTGAATAGAAACATAATAAAAACCCAAAGCAAAATCTCAAAAATCCCACAGGTGGCTGCAACCGAACAGCAGGGGCCAGACAGTAAAGTGCCAGCACTGGCCATCTCTGATGCTCACGCTGGTGTGCTGTCTTTTTGTGACAGTCTCTGTGTCTCTAAGGTCTCTTCTTCTCATACAGATATCTCATATGTAGTTCCACCCACACCGGATACAGTCTTTACGCCCCCTGGACGTGATGGGCTAACCGGAGGAGAGACAGTAGCCTGGCCATTACTGCGAGAATGCGGAGACTTCACAGGAGACTGATCCCTGTATTAGTAACAGAAACAGTTATAGTGATGGCAGGAAAAGAGATTATTTGGCATTCAGTGACTGAATGAAAATGGTGAAAAGGTCATAAAACTCACTTTAGTGTTAGAAGGGGCAGAGCGGCTACATCTGTATCCCCACTTCGGTGGTGGCTGATCCTAGGCTTGCCATATCGAGGGGCAATAGGAGGAGGACAGGCTGGACGAGGACGCTCCCTGGTTGAAATATAGGGGGAGGAGATTCCGGCTGTTTCTGGCTCTGTTTCATCAGAGGGACTGAGCAAACTCTGGTACGATAGGCTGCCATTCTGTGTCTGATTAAGACTCTTGTAGGAAGTGGATGTTGTCCCTTCAGAAGGAAGAGATGGCAGTGGTCCAGGACCACCTGTAGCTGACCGTAAGCTAGAGGAGCGAGCAGGTGGTGGGTGACAGGAAGGATCAGGCTCCAGACTAGGTTCAGAGCGAGAACTTGGGGGCCGGGATAGATCCGATGTAGGGACAGGAGAGTCCTGAAGACTGTCTACACGAGAGAGCTAGGTGGAGAGAATCAGAATAAAAGAATCAGGAACATTCTTCTAATAAGATAAATTATAGTTTAAACATAGGACTATGGTGGCATGTAATCATAACAAGTATGGATAAAGCCATGTAAAACACACAGAATGCATAGTTGAGTTACATATTCATGGTATTCTTAGTCTGTAGGTTGTATTAATAAAATAAAATTAGTGGAGCTTAAATTCAAATTCAGGCTATAAAACCTTTACCTTGGCTCCAGATGATGGTATGCTTCCACCACTGTTAAATCCTGGACCACTGTTGTATCCTGGACGGTATCTGTACATAGTGGGAGTAGGGGGGCTCTCTGCATTTAATGGAGCACTCTCTGGATTGGAAGAAGAAAGATGTCAATCTGCATGCCATTTACATATTTTTGCATCCTTCATATACTAACATTTTGTTTATAACCACTCATTCAATTACAGTTCTACATTCCCATGTAAGAAATAATATGTACACCCCTCCAGTCATCACCTTCTCTTTCTCCCAGGATTAGCTGTGCTCTTAGTCCTGCGTATCGGCTTAAATCTGGTTTTGGTGGTGGAGGTGGATCCGCGTCAGCTGATTGAGACTCTGTCAACTCTAAGCTGCTTCGTGACTGGCGAAAAAAACAAAAAAAAACCTTAATTTGTAAAGTATATAACTCATTCAGTGGACTTTACAAATGAACAAAATGCAAGTTCGGGGCAAGACCATACATTTCAATGTTCAAAAACGAAATAAACGAAATGTACGCAGGTATATATCGTTGGCAGTCTTGCGTAACGATTCATATCTGCCTACAACAAAGTGTAAGTTTGCTTGGGCAATACACCTATTTATATGCATAATCAGGTGTCTTTCCCAAGTATACCAACAGTAAGGTGGTCTCACACCAGGATTCAAAGCTGGGTTTCTGGATTCTAAGGTCCACATGCACACACAAAAAAACCCCAAAATAAAACCAAGCTGTATTAGAAAATGTACTTCATGCGTTAGCAAGCGATGGTCTGGCTGTTGAAAGTACATGATAATGTGGATTATGTAATAGGATGTGGATAAAGAAAACAAATGTAACATTTGCAAAGGCTGCGGTCAGGAAACTGAAATTAACCATTAAACACTTGCTGTGCAATCTATATAAATGTATATACTTGCCAAGAAGCGACAATACAGATATACCCTACCTGGTAGTGCTGAGGGGGACTCTGCACCCCATTGTCCAGGATTTTAAGGCCGATCTGACTTTCAGATACTGCCGGACGGATAAATGGTGGTGAAACAGAGACCACGGAATAAGTGTGATTACGTTTAAGGTACCTAGGAATACAGTGCAAATATTAGACTACAGAAAAAGAAACACATCTGTAAAAAGGAAGCATTTACTCATGTGAAAACAATGATTTTCCTAACCAGAACAGAAGATGCAAAACATCAGTATACAGAGAAAAAACACATTTTGCATGTCTTTAAATGTTACCAACAGGTAACATACAAAAAAATAAAAATAATTACATGAATATAACCAGAGAGAGAGAAGAGGAGACCGAAACCTATAGATCTACAGCCTTTTCATTGCCTGCCTCTTGAATTTAGCTCCAATGGGGTAAAAAAAAAAAAAAGGAGGAAGTAACAGAATCTGATGTCTGATTGACAGCCAGTGGGGTGTAACAAATTTCTAAAAGTGCCAATTTAAATCCGCACTTAATAAAACAAAACAAAACAAAAAAAACAACAGGACACATGCTATATACATAAAGCACGGCAGCAAGCAGCAAGGGTCTGGAGTCTTCCTTTAAGTATCTAGTGACCAACCACACTTACTGGTGAAATCTTACAGGAAGCAGACCTTTGTTTTCTAGTTCTAAATCTATACATTACCACTGCACTAAACTGCTTTTATATTTAATGCTATAAAAATATTTAAGAAGAATGGCAAAACAAAATCTGCACGTGAAACGTCAATGACGTCGCACACATATATGGGAATGGGATGACTGGCCAACAAAACAGAAGACTAGTCTGCAAAGTGTTAAGGTATAAGGCAGGTTTTTAATTAACTTTTCTTGTAAATACATTTTTGCACAATTTTAATTCAATCTATACATAATGCAAAACAATGGTTCCTCATTTCTACCGTACAGTGTCCATATAAAATAGTGTAGGATTTTTGTTTGTTTACAGGATGACAACATTCTTCATCAAGATTGGACTAATGCGTTTTGCATTTCTTTTGTTACGTTTCTCCAAGAAAAATGTGTGGTTTAAGGTTAATGTAGTGCCCATTCTACCTATTCTGTGGTTATGGAAGCCCATCATGCTAAAAAGCGCTCTCTTTCTAACCCTAGTGCTAGCCAAAAGTAATGTTGCACGAACCCAGTTGTATGACTATATTAGAGTTAGAATATTTTTCAGCTATTTTGGTCCTTGTATTTCCATTGAGATTTAAAGGACCACTATAGCCCCCTAGTAATGTCTATGGCTCTTGGCTCAGGCCCTATTTTTTGTAATTCAAATTACCCCTTGATAGGTTGATTTAAAAAAAAAAAAAAAGTTCCATACCACTGAACCTGTACAGGGGTGTGGAATTTGTACAAACACAATACATATGGTCAACACAGACCCACACACTCATTACACCTAGCCACCACACAAAACACTATGGAGGAAGACAGAGAGCAAGACTCTAAACTTCAGATTTTCACAAATTAAATCCAAATGCAAAGATTGAGGCAAATATAACCAGTTTAAACTACAGGCGAATTAAAGTAATTTACCAGATCAGTTTGGCCCTGGTTTTTCCCATTCAGAATTAGGATTCAATTTAATAATTTTGGATGTCTTACAAATAATTCAATAATTTTTAATATACTTATAAAAGCTTTTTTTCCTTCCAAAATATATATATATAAAAAGTTATATCTATATCTAAATACCAAATCACTTGGCACTCACCCTGTATGAAAAATATAAATGGATACTGCCTAGGTGGGATCTTACAAATGCCTTACCTGCAGCCACAAGATCAGCGGAAGTACATTCGCACATTCACACAGTGGGAAACGATTTCCCATATTACAATACATTGTAATACAACTAATCATGTAATTTACATGTGGTCTTGCTTATTTGGGGAAGATGGATCTCTGATTGAGGGATCGGACAGGGGGACACAGGTCCACTATCACAACAGCATTTAGGGACCAGTGGACTGATTAACCTGTAGAAAAACACTTTTTGGCAGGACAACCCAGACTTCCCACTTTTAGGTTTATCGCTATAGACCATATTGCCCCCGTTGCACATGAAGGGGATGGATCCAAATTACTTCTACAAAGAGATGCTCATTGGATTCACCGATTGGACACTGTAGCCCCCAAAGGGCTTAATGAGAACATTGTGTAGTTTATGTTCCTATGATTGGGTTAAATACTATGTGGCACATGTTGTTCAACGTTTTTAGTATTTTTGATAGCAACTCTTTGGTAGTTTGTGTTTTTGTATAGCTTTATTATGTTAGTTTAATACTAAACATTTAGCACCCGCTTTTGATTTTTTGCTTTGTGCATTATGTATTATATATTGAAAGTAACATTGATGCATCACTTCTGCCACCTGGTGGTGTGATGCAATATTTTACTATCCCTGTACTTTAGGGATCCAGTCAGTGGTCTGAGCTCTTTTTCACTCTTATTTTTAGCACTTTTTTTGCATTCACACACATTCCACACAACAATTCTTGTAATATCTGCAAGCCTCACTTTGCCCTGAGCGTGCCTTCCCCTGCTAGCAAATTATTTTAGGTTTTCTCGGCTTCTCTTTCACACATGCAGTGATTTTTCTGTCTTTTGCACATATTGTGTACACGGTTCCTAGCAACCAGTGGAGATATGACCAACCACGCCCCCATGTCAGAGGTCACGTGGTCTCCTTGACCACTTCCAGGTCACCCACTGCATGATGACCTGCCCATTCGTTATTGGAAAGTTGTTGTTTTTTTACCTATATAATAGTGGTTTATTTTATTACATTGTAACCATATACAGACACTATATTAAAATATTTTTAAAATATTAAATCATTTCAAAAGCTTATCAAGTAACATTACAAAATCAAGTCCTTAATTTGGAAAATTCAGAGTTTAGTAAATAACCCTGCCAATATGCAAGGATAAGGAGGGTCCCCAAACTTTCTAATTTGAAGTTTAATCCCTTGGACAAGAAGATTTATTTTTGTTTCTCAAATTTCCACAGCCCTGATAGAACTATCATTATTTTCATGGTCAGTGTCATAAGAAGGTAGAAATCCTGAATAATCCTCAAGAAACCTCCACAAAGTCCACATTACATTTATTAAATTGAACTCATGATGACAGATATGTTTGCAGTTTTCTAACCATTTGTCTTAAAGGAACACTATAGTGTTTGGAATACAAATATGTATTCCTAACGCTATAGAGCCCTAGTCACCTAAATGGTGATTAGGGCCCCATTCCGCAGCGAATAAATGGTTAATTAACCATTTATTTGCTTACCTTAATCCAGCGCCAGGCTGCCTCTGCACTGGTGACCTATCATCCTCCATCAACATCAGCACTGAGTGGAGCCGAATGCGCACACGCATGCAATCCCGCCCATAGGAAAGCATTACTCAATGCTTTCCTATGGGGATCTTTTTTGACGCTGGAGGTCAGTGAGGACGTCCAGCTTCACATAAGTGCTATTTACGCAGTGTAAATCGCAGAAGCTGTCAGGGAGGAAGCCACTAGAGGTTGGATTAACCCAGCAGTGTAAACATAGCAGGGTTAAAACTAAGGGGACCTGGCACCAAGACCACATCATTGAGCTGAAGTGGTCTGAGTGTCTATAGTGGTCCTTTAACTCATGTTATACAATTAAAGGTTTCTTTCCTTAACACTATTAAAATCACATATTTTAATTTATTCCCGTTAACCCTGTCTCCTGTAGAGGGCATCAGTCAGGTTTTCACTGGGTGTTACACTTGAATTAAGACACACCTCTTCTGCATACCCCTGTTTAAAGCGACACTATAGTCACCAGAACCACCGCAGCTTAATGTAGTGGCTCTGTTGTCCACAGGCTGTCACTGTAGTGAAAAGGCAGTGTTTAGATTGCTGCCTATGAACACCCCTAGCGGCAGTCACTCAGGTTCAGGGTCTCCACACTCTGCATTGAGACACTGAACGCTCCCCATAGAGATGAATTGATTCAATGCTAATTGGCGCAGTGCAGTGTTTTGCTGCAAAATAAACTCACAATGCTTTCCTATGAGAAAGAAATGGGTTGTCTGAGATCAACAAAATGAATGATGTCCACCATGGACGAGGGGCCAGCAGCAGTTAGACAGGCGCAGCGAAGGAGAAAAAATAAGTTAAAATGCCTTTTCATTGCAATCTGAGGGTGGCAGGACACATAGACAGCCACTCCAGCACTATAGTGTTAGGAATACGTTTGTATTCCTAGCACAATAGTGTTCCTTTAAGAAGCACAAACTAGACATTTGCTAGTACTACATACAGATGAAATTTGATTCTTTATCATGACAAATGCTCTTTAAAACCAGGGATGAATATTGGTTCACAATGTAGCTGTGGTAATATATGTCTATAGACAACTCTTGTGAAACTGCAAAGGTTGAGTAAAAGCTGCATAGGTTGGGAAACTAATTTTGTTATGAGTTTTCTTGATTATAATTCAATAGAAAATTGTGGAGTGTGAAATCAATCACACTGTACATCCAATACCTAAAACACTCACTATTTTGGGGGCGGGGCCTGGACATCATGGCGGCTGGACGCACTTCGTGTGAGCTCCGAGCTCAATGCCTCAACTAAGCCTGAATCTAGCCAGCCAGCCAGCCAGCCAGCCATAACGCCACGAAAAGAGACTTGCCTACCTCTGGAGCCAGCAGAGGAACCCCGGGTCTGTCGCCCGCGGGTACACTACACGGCCGACGGAGGTCGGAGGAGTGAGGCCTAGTACGGCCGTCGGACGGGGGAAGCGGCCGATCCCCTGCTCGGTGTGCAGCTGTGCAACCCCAAGCTCTCTCTCAGCCCTGTTTCCCCCCTCTTTGGACCGGCGGGGGTCATCCCGGTCCGAACTGGCTAGTCTCACGCACGGAACAGCCCCACTAAAATACAACCTAGCAAAATGGCGGCCTGTAATATCCAGCGGGAACCAGCCATCACGCAGTCTGAGACGGCACTGCTAACTCCCGCGCAAATAACACAGAAGAAGCTGGATGACATTTCCGACTGTTTCTGGGCTAAGCTGGAAGCCCGCCAAGCCGCAGCAGCAATTCAACACAGGGAGGTTCACGGTAGGGCGGTGAGTTGGCCCCCTCTGATCCCCCACGCATTAAACATACGTAAGCCTATTAGTCAGAGATCACTCAGGCCGAGGGCCGAAACGGGCACAGCCCCACGGCATCACCCACGCAGACAGAAGATCGCCGGCAACCGGCAGCGGAATACCATCACGACCTCCCGTCTACCCCATGCAGGGGAGGACTGGGACCCTAGGAGCCAACACGTCCGTTGCAAGAGGATGCTGGCCTACCAACCGGCCTGGGGAGGGAGGGATGCTCAACTAAACAGCCTGAATGCTGCAGCCTCCCTAGCCTCCGAAGTGCAACACTTTCAATTTCCTACTTCGGGCATTGGCTAAGCGCTGACAAGCTTCTTGCAGCCGCACCATCATTGGAGTCCTGATCACAAGCGGCAACCGTCACGGATGGGACTCACACTCACTAATGCCAGCCTCAGAGTACTTCCCCACATGAATGCAATCAAAGGCATCCGAATGTTTCTGTCCATGGTTTATGTCTGATTTGTTTATGCTTTAATTATTTTGTGCTCCAGGTCTACCTGTACATTAGACCACTGCCTAACATATGACACATAGCATGTTCACACATAATCTTGCACCTATTCTCATAAGAGACCTGCTTAAATACCACGACTAATCATATTAGGCGTAAATCTTTAAGTATATTTAGAGGGCAACTATTGAATAGTCGCATAGGCACAAACCAATGAGACAGCCTGGCTTCTCAGCTAGTTACTCAGCAATCTCAGCAACGTTAGGCCTCACGCACCTGTACCTATACCACGCAGGTTCTATGGTTAACTATTCAACCTGTAATTACTACTGTACACATGACATTTTTGTATAAGCAAAACTACGGTAAAACTTAACTAATCCCATTACTAATATCCAAGCTTGCATACGTAGACTAATTACGCTATTATAGTCCTGCTCAAGTATTCCTAGCCTGTTTACTCTCATAAATATAAAAATGTGCTGTATTACTCTGCAATGACACTATTTGCTATTGAAATGCCTGTACTAGCTGTCGTGGCGCTACAGGCCCATCTGTTATGTTTTCTTATGCACAAGAAAAATAAAGAATTTAAAAAAAAAAAAAACACTCACTATTTTAATTGAAAGAAAAAAAAATTGTAATGGGGAAATATCTATGTAATATAAATGTAATACAATCAAAACAAAAGGATTTTCTTTTTACCTGGGTGGTGGAGAGCTGCATAGTACATGGCTTACATTTCGACAGCAGCCATCACTAAAAGGATTTACTCCTCCACGGAACTTCCCTGTGACCTAAGAAAGATACCACAAGGAGAATGATTAGAGCAAAAGTTAAAGAAACTGAGAAAAATAGTGCAATGCTTATAGTTCAAGATGGGATTTTAATCTTTACTCAAATTTAACTGGGAACTCTTTAAAAATAAAACATAGAATGTGACGTTGGATAAGAACCAGTCTGCCCATCTAGTCTGCCAGTTTCTCTAAATATTCTCATTATCCTTGGCGATAGCTGCGCATGCGCATTAGGTCCCCCCTGCCAGCTGACATTGATGGAGGAAGAACGGAGGTGGAGCCTGACCCAGCACTGAGGGACATCGGCGCTGGATTTAGGAAAGCGACAGATGGGGGTTTTAACAACTTTGCTTTCCTTGCACTATAATTTCCCTTTAACCTCTACCACTTCAGCTGGAAGGCTATTCCATGCATCCACTACCCTCTCAGTAAAGTAATAATTCCTGATATTATTTTTAAGCCATTGCCCCTCTAATTTAAGACTATGTCCTCTTGTTGTGGTAGTTTTTCTTCTTTTAAATATAGTCTCCTCCTTTACTGTGCTGATTCCCTTTATGTATTGAAATGTTTTTAATTTATCTATTTATTTAATTAACTATTACTTAGTTCAATACCTTTGAGACTTGTGAAGTCATGAGTTGTTAATTGCAAACTGCTGAAACTCTGTAAATTTTGATGATAAACCTGATTTTCAATGGGGGTTAAATAATTTTTATTAACAAATTAACTAAGGCAAAGGAAAGGTTTTTTTTTTTTTTACTGTAAGAACAATAAGGATGAGGAATTCTCTGTCTGAAGAAGTGGTTTTATCAGAGTCCATACAGATGTTCAAACAGCTACTAGATGCATACTTGCAAAAACAGAATATTCAAGGATATAATCTTTCAATGTAGGGTAATAACAGCTTGATCCAAGGATAAATCTGACTGCCATTCTGGGGTCAAGAAGGATTTTTCTTCCTAGCTTGTTGCAAAATTGTGCTTCAAACTGGGTTTTTTTGGCCTTCTTTTGCATCAACGGCAAAAAACAAATGTGAGGAAGGCTGAACTTGATGGACGCAAGTCTCTTTTCAGCTATGTAACTATGTAACAACTGTAAGGGTCATATGTGCTTGGACTTTCCCTTAAAAGTTAATTTAACAAGTAGCATAAAAAAGACAAAAAAATCCAAATCCACTTATAAAATTAAGAGGTGGAATATATATATATATTCCAATAAAACCACTTAAAGGTGACCATTAAATATCTAGCTGGGATGAAAGTTCACAAACTGACTTATGAAATAATTAAGGGTTGGGTCCCAATACTTTTGTCTATATAGTGTGTGTATATGTATTGCTTCCAAATGTGTATAGATAAGGAAAAGCAATACTCCCTCCAAAGATTTGTGCACACGATGCATGCAAAACAAAGAACATAAATAATAAAACCTACCCTGGCGTGTCATTTTAATAAAGGACATCAAAAAGAATCCCAAAAGACACACTAAGAGAGTAACTTATCTTAAACAATGTATCGGAGTGGATACGCGATCACATGCTGACCTGTTCATTGGTGGTACGACCTCTTGACACAAGCACAATGTGGAAGCCAGTAAGGCCAGCAACAGGAAAGAAAAATAATCCAGCCACACACATCACAGAAATACTGGGAGATTGTTAAGAAACAAAAACATACAAAAAAGGAAAGTGGAAACAGAAGAGAGGGTTGGAAAGGACTGAAAATCTATAAACAAATAAAACTGGAGAAAAAGAGAGACAAAAAAAGTTAAAGAATGGTAAGAGATAGAAACTGGTAGTGCAACATTATAAACAGGAGATTACAAAAAGGATACGTCACAGCTGCTGGGATGTCTCGCAGCTGGTCAGGATGCCCCAATGTGTAGAAAAGGCCGCAGATAAAGACACTCATTATGTGTAACGTTAGAGACACCAGGAACAGGAAGAAGTAACGGTAATTCCTGCGTCCAATGCAGTTGTTTACCCAGGGACAATGATGGTCAAATTCCTGAAAAAAATTAAGAGAATTAGGTAAAGAAGAAAGTATATGAGAAAGAGACAAGAATGTACAAACAAAGGGATTCAAATAATAGGACAGTAATAGAAGAAAAAAAAAAAAATGAAATCAGAGGTGCAGAAAAAAAAAAAAAAGATTTATGAATGAGAAAGGGAGGTAAGACATAGGCAGAATAAACCAGGAAGAGAAAGCAGATGAGACAGAGAAGCAAATATTGGTAAAATTGTAATATATTAATCCTCTAATAATTAAATACATTATTGTCCCCCTCCCCCCCTTTTCCCTACAGTAACAGTACTGCACGTACACATAAAGGCATGTAAATGGATGCATATAATTAAATACATTATTGCTCCCGACATGGACAAAGCCCTTTCCCCTTTTTAAAAACTTAACAGCGGTAGCTTCGTCTTTCTATCAAGCGCAGGAAAAATACACAAGTTAAAAGTAGTCCATACTTTGTCATATCTTTTGGCTAAATTGCAATTTCAGTGAAATCTCAACCCAGTCAATGTATGTCTGAAGGATTTTTTGAAACATTCTTTGTACAGGGTGGGTACGTGGGTGACAGAGTTTATTTAAATATACACAACCAATTAATTAAAAAACTCTAATCATGACTTTGCTATTAATAATTATTTTAGGTTATATTTTGTAGTAATTTCTATTATTCTAGCATTCAGGTAATTTCGTTCAACAGACTGGATTATATAACCAATTGTACACAGTAATGTTAACAGTGAACTTTTTTCAACGTAAAATTGTGTGCTTCTTTTTACTACTGCGTTTAAAGTCAATCATAAAATGTTACTATTGAACTTTTTTTTTTTTTTTTTTTAAGATTTATTCCACGCACCATGACCACTTCAATGATTGTGAAGTGTTTCATGGCGAAATGCTGCACATACAGAGTTTAACCACTCTTCAAATTATTGGGGCGTCATTAGTAAGACCAGAACACAACCTACGGGCTGGTTAGTTAATGTGAATTCTGTGCATATTTCTATGAATACGGTCATTCATTGGATAAAAGCAACCAGCTGATGCTCTCAGCCAATGCAAGGCTCACAGGATCAACATCTGGATTGCACGTCACCTGACAAGAAAGCAGCCTCGGTATATGACATAAGAGCAAAACGGTTTTGCCCATTACTAGGTAACAGGGTACGTTTTTTCCTTAAAGGCATAAAATGTACGAATTAAGAAACTAGATTATTAACTGGAGCTTGTAAAAGTTAAGGGGGACAACGACATTTTACTTAAAGGGATACTATAGTGCCAGGAATACATAGCTGTATTCTGCCTCCCCCATCCCTCGCTGACGCCCCAGGTTTTTTTTTCCCCTTATATACACATGCTTTTTATTATAGCAACCCTGTCCAGTATATGACAGGGTTAAACATGTACACACACACACACATATATATATATATACACACATACATACATAAAGCATACATCCATTCATATAGAAAATACACATAGAATTATTCACTGTATTCAAAGGTAATTTTAATTAGGCCACGCAAGTCAGGTTTGTTTTGAGTTCTGCTTTTTTCTTGGCTGGAAATTTCAAATTCACTTTGAATTCATGTAGAATTTCTTTAAAAATTCACACAAGTTAGTACAAAACAAAAAGCAATATTCAACCTCTGGAGAAACTTAACTACTGTGTAGTCAGCTGTGAAACATGTATACTTTATACCATTTTTCTCATTATAAATTTGAAATGATTACAAATAATAAAAATGCAATTGAAATGACAAATTGTGTCAGAAAAAAACCCCTGCACAATGGTTGTAAAATTCTGCTAGTTTGTCCATCTTTAAAAAACAAAACAACAAAATAATATCATCACCCTAATACTTTACTTTACAGATACATGGATTTGTATTCTGATATTTATGATTGAATCCAACACTTACCTCCACACAGTTGTCACAGACACTGCAGTGTGAACATCGGGGAGGTCTGTAAAAGCGGCATGTTGAGCACCACTTCATGCGAACTTGTACGCCTCGTACTTCCACTGTTTTATAAAGTGGTGCACGGAAGTCGTCTTCTTTATCTTCATCTTCATCCGCTGGAGTGAGAGAAAATGCAGTGAGACAGGAGGTTGTGTACACATTGTGCAATAAGGTGTGCCCAAAAGTTGGGTGTACTATTTTACCTCGAGGGAAGATTCCAGGATCCATGAAAGTGGCCATACTGAAATTGGCCAAAACAAAGAGAAACATGACAGCGTTATAAGCAGGAAGTGCTGGGGACACCTCTTCACTAAGCCAGGGGCATCTGTAAAAAAAAATAGTCACACACACACAAAAAAATGCAATATTAAGATAAGACTAGCTAGTTTTTCATAGAACAGAGAAGGCACTGAATGTGACAAGTGAGTATAAAGGGTAATGTGAGCAGGGTTCCATTTTAAGTAATGGTGGTGGAATGATTAAAGTGTTACTCCAACCCTTTTTACTTCAACTTGATTTTAAATTTAGTATGCACTATTGGGCATTACTTAGCTGGGTGCCCCGTTTAACACCTGAATGGAAAGGCAAAAACTGAAATCCTGCACTGCTCTTCACACCTCAATCCAACTCCTTGGGAGGTCCAATCAAATTCTTTTTATAGAGAAGCATTTAATTGGACCATTTCACTGGCTCAGATCACATGCATATGCCCTGAGCAGACGAGAAAATAAAATAAAATAACCAAAACAATTAAAAGGGACACTCCACTGCCCAAATTCAAAATAAATAATAAATCACAGTTCAGTAGATATAGCCCAAATAAAAACATTTATTTAATTATGCATTTTTACATTGGGTGTATATCTAAAAACAGCTTGCAAAACCTGCAGTTCTGTTGTCTGCTGCCTTTGCAAACCCTCCCCTTCTAGCCCCGCCTAGACTTTCTGTGGCTGTCCAATCACAATCTTCCCAATGCAGCTCAATGAAAATCTGCAAGGCAGTGCTCTGAGGAATTGCTGCCTCTTGAGGTTAGCTCCACTGATCTAACCATACCGGGGGTAACGGAAACTGTTGTCTGCTTGAAAGCCAAGGGGGTGAAACCATTTTAATTTCTAAAAGTTTAAATTTTTCTGTTGAAATCTGCACTTTAGTTTTATTTAAAAAATAAATAAAAACACTTTCACATAAAGCTTTTCAGCAAGGTAGGAAGCACACTAAGGGATGTAGGGGAGATAAGGCTTCCTCATACAGACACGCTGCATGCAAGGGAGAAACTCATCATTTCTATCGCCAGTGTGCTGTGCACCGATGACTGGTGCAATTTTTGCACAAAATTTCTATTAAGCAGCCAGAACAGAGTTCCAAGCTGCCCAAGTCTTGTGTTCCAGAGGTGCAACTAGCACCAAAGTGCAGATTGCTCTGTATGTGCTGTGTTTCCAGCGGAAATGCTGCACAGACAGACTCCTACCATCATGACCACTTCAAATCCACAAAGAAGTCATGGTGGTTGGAGTAATCCTTAAAGCTTGGATTTGGTTCTTGTCAGATTTATGTTTTTTTAAAATACTTTTTACCTCCCAGGCACATTATTTAAAATGTTGCCCACAAATGCAGCACTAATGGAAGCTAGTGGGGAGCTTTGTGATTATCTGTGAATTTGTAATTGTAAAAAGGGAACGGGCAAACAAGTGTAATCTCTTTACGAGCTTGTTACACGCAAAGTAATCCTGCAAACTGGGACAGAAATAAGTGGACAGATGGAATGTCTGACAGGAAGAGCAGACAAGGAAAACCAACAGATATAAAAAGAGGCAGATCAGGAAAATAGAGGACAGATGGACAATAAATAGAAAATAGAGTGCATGTGGATCATTATCAAGCTGCTATCAATAATATCTCCATGATTTAAATAAATAATGGATCAGTTACACTGTGGAAGATGAGGCATGCTGTGAAATAAGTGCAAACGTCTGCATATGTTTATTTACATAATAAATATGTGAGGGAGGGACAACAGTAATAACGATGTTGTATAAGAGATCTACACACAAAAGACACTGATCCTCATTGTGTCCAGTCTATCTCATATTGAATCAAGACTCAAAATAATAGGTCACTTTCTTGAACGGCACAAGATCTTTTGGTCACATCTAGGCATACTTTCTGCTTCCTTCTACAGTTGTGCAATTAGTTGGAGTTTGAATTCTACAGCTGAGAAAGTTCACATGTAGAAAGCAGTGAGAAATGGTGTTTTTAAACTCACGAGAATGTGAAGAACAGCGTAGTTGATCCCACCAGAAAGACTGTTGCTGCAGCCACAGGGATGTACTTGCTGGGTTTAAATGACTTGACAGTTCCTGCGGGCATCGTGAAGATGGGGGGAGGGATCTGGATGGTGCAGCATAGCCCCACACAGAGCCGGGAGGGAATGGGAGAAATAGGAAGGAGGATAAGGGGTGAAGGGATAGATTACTATAAAATATATCTCCCCATGCTAATTACAAAATAAGCGGGATAGATAAAAGAAACATATTTAAATAAGAGGGGGGTGAGGGGGAACAAACAAACAAACAAAACAAGGGGTGGGACAGTAAGAGGATAAAAATGAGGATTGAAGCTTGTTCTTCTTTATGATCCAGGGGCTTCCCTTTGGTTGTCGCCTCCCCTCCTCCTCCAAACCTCGAGGGTGAGGGGAGCAGACTATGTCTTGCAGCCCTCTGCCCCCCTCCCCTCGATTAGTTTGTCTCCCTCCTTTCTGTAATCCCTTATTAATCCATGTGGTTTATGTCAGTGCAGTCTCTGGTTTGAAGACGTACTTCTGGATGAGATTGTTTTCTAGACCTGTTTAAGAGAGATGCAACAATATATTATCAAATACACCACAAAATCAATCAAATGAACAAACAGTTTTGTGTCCATGCTTTTAGATTGGATAGCAACATTTTTTTATTTGATCAAATTACAATTTAACACAAACACCATGCATGATTAAGATGCACTGGTATTCTAACATGACATTAAGTTCAAGATATACAATGGATAGCACTATATTCCAATAACCTCTTAATGACCATGTACCATGAAAAAAGGGGAATTTGTATAACCTCTAGAAAAGAAGGAGTTATTATGGAAGTGTGACTAGTTTACTTAACCCCTTAAGGACCAAACTTCTGGAATAAAAGGGAATCATGACATGTCACATATGTCATGTGTCCTTAAGGAGTTAAATGTCCGACATCCACCTGTGATGGGAGCTACCTAGTACAAGGCAGTAATTGGGTAACCCAGTGAAGAATCAGGAAGTTATCCCTTTACAATTACAACCCCATTGAAATTCTGAATGGTCTATAGATTCATTTGGCAGGGCTTTAATGTAACTATCGACAGCTAAGTATGAAATTATCCATGTTCCAGGGGTGTTGAAAGGTGGAAAAAAGCCAAGGAGCTATAATCGAAGGTAAATTGTATGGTCAATTCCCCATATATTAAGTTTATAACTTCTCTATCCTGGCGGGGGAGACCTAATGCGCATGCACGGCAATGGCCGCGCTCGTATCAGTATTTTCCCATAGGGGGAAAAAAAATCTGATGCTGGAGGTTCTCATGCAGAGCGTGAGGATGTCCAGCATTAAATACCAGACAAAAGGTCAGTTTTGATGCAGGAAGCCCTGTAGTGGCTGTTCTGGTTCTCTGGCACTGCCATGTTTGACATTGCAGCACAAAGTGCAAAAGGGACACAGCATCCACACCACTTCAATTAGCTCAAGTGGTCTTGGTGCCTACAGTTTCCTTTTAACCTTTCTTCATAACTAAAATGCTCCCTTCCTTTGATAAATTTTGTAGTGCCATAACATACTTCTTAACAACAGGCACCCAATTGCACAGCATATTCAAGATATGGTCTGCCTAATATAGTGTAGTTTACACCCGTGCTGCCATAACAGCTCTGATGAGTCGAGACACGGACTCCACAAGACCTCTGAAAGTGTCCTGTGGTATCTGGCACCAAGGCATTTGCAGCCGATTGTTTGAGTTCTGCAAGTTGTGAGGTGGAGCCTGCATCCATCGGATTTGTTGTGCCAGCACATACCACAGATAGGCTCGGGGGAATTTGGAATAGGGATTGACCGATATTGATTTTTTAGAGCAGATACCGATAATCTGTGAACTTTCAGGCCGATAGCCGATAACTTACTGATATTCTGTACATTTACCATTTTGAAAAAATAAACTGTTCCTAAATGTAAATGCACAAAATATACATGCCACATGTAGTGGATGCAATGTGTTTAGACAGGGGAGCTATTTGTGTAGTGTGTGTAGTGGATGCAGTGTGTATTTGTGTAGTGTGTATATAATGAATGCAGAGTGTGTTTGTGTAGTGTGTACAGAGAATGCAGTGTTTGTGTAGTGATTATATAATGAATGCAGAGTGTGTGTGTTTGTGTAGTGTGCGTAAAGTCAATGCAATGTGTAGTGTGCGTAAATTGAATGCAGTGCTAGTAGTGTGTATAGTGAATGTAGTGTGTATATATGTATGCAGAGTGTGTGTGTGTGTATATATAATGAATGAATGTGTATTTCTGTAGGTATAAAATTTCTGTAAAATGGGGGAAAAGAGGGGCATAAAAAATAAATAAAAAAATTATATATATATATATATATATATATATATATATATATATATATATATATATATATATATATATATATATAAATAAATAAATAACAAGCAACTTCAATGTTGAAAGATTTTGTTTTTTTTAAAAACACCTAATCTAGGCAAAAATAATGGGGGTTTAGTTACATTATATGATCATACATTGCATAAGCCTGCCACAACGTCAATGTACCCCATCTTTGGCAGGTCCTACACTAACAGCCTAATGTCTGCTCTTATGAGATTAACCTACTTGGGAAAAAAATTCCATCTGGGGCTCTCTGCATTGAAGTTGCTGTTTAGTGGATAGGTGAGTGCGCTGGATCTTGTGTATTGTATTATTTTGACCCCCATTTATGCATGTTCAGGTGAGTGCAGCCAACCCCCTCTTGTTTTATGTATATATTTGGGAGTCTAGCCAACTCCTTGGTTTTGCACCCCTCCCTGTCACAGGTGCCTCATCCCAGGGCCCTATTTAGCCTTGTACTGCAGAGAGCCCCAGATGGAATTTTTTTCCCAAGTAGGTTAATCTCATAAGAGCAGACATTAGGCTGTTAGTGTAGGACCTGCCAAAGATGGGGTACATTGACGTTGTGGCAGGCTTATGCAATGTATGATCATATAATGTAACTAAACCCCCATTATTTTTGCCTAGATTAGGTGTTTTTAAAAAAACAAATAAAATCTTTCAACATTGAAGTTGCTGTTTAGTGGATAGGTGAGTGCGCTGGATCTTGTGTATTGTATTATTTGGCCCCCAGCAGCACCCCCATTTATGCATGTTCAGGTGAGTGCAGCCAACCCCCTCTTGTTTTATGTGTGTGTGTGTATGTGTATATATATGTATGTGTGTATAATAATTTTTTAAAAAAAAATATTTAATTATTTTGTCCACCCTCCCTGCTTGTTACCTGGCCAGGGAGGGGGGGATATAGCATTCCCTGGTGGTCCAGTGGCCTGGTCTGTGCAGTGTGGGCCCAGCAAGCTCTTACCTTCTCAGCAGCTCCCTTCAGCTCCCCTGTCTAACTCTCGCGGCCTGTGTGCCGCGCGGAGCGTTGCCATGGTAACCGAGATTTACACAGGGGAGCTGCTGGGAAGAGCTTTCTGCGGGCCCCCCAGGACCGCCGGGCCAATGATAAGGTCCTAGTATGTATTATCGGCAATATCGGTATCTTTATTGTCAGATACCGATATTGCCGAAAATACAGAATATCGGCCAGACCGATAATCGGTCGATCCCTAATTTGGAAGCAAGGCAACACCTTGAACTCTTGATTCATGTTTCTCAAACCATCCCAGAACAATTTTTGAAGTGTGGCAGGTGCATTATCCTGCTGAAAAAGGCTACTTCCATCAGGTAACATCATTATCATGAAGTGGTGTACGTGGTCTGCAACAATCCCTAGGTACATGCTCTTCAACAATCAAACTAACATCCACTTGAATGCCAGGACACAATGTTTCCGAACAGAACATTGCCCAGAGTATAACACTGCCTCCACTTGCCTGGCTGCTTCCAATGGTGCCACCTCTTACCCAGGTAAATGACGCACACACCAAGCCTTTTATCTGACCTAAAAGAAAATGTGATTCATCAAACCAGGTAACCTTCTTTTCACTGCTCCATGGTCCAGTTTTGATGCTTACATCCCCAGTAAAGGCGCTTTTGGAGACGGGCAGGTCGGTCAAACAGCGGTTCACTATGTGTTCTGACACTTTTCTATCATGGCCAGCATTAAATGTTTCAGCAATTTGAGCTACCTTGTGTGTCAATAAGCTTGAGCCCCTATGACACTGACTCCAGCTAAATGGTTGTCCTTCCTTTCACTATTTGTGTAGTTATCAACAGTGATGTCGCGAACCATTCGCGAACTTGCGGCAAACGGTTCGCGGCAAACGGTTCGCGGCAAACTCCGGTCAGCTGACACATCCCTGCCAATCTCCGGCAGACCCTCCCTCCCAGACCCTCCTACTTCCTGGACAGCATCCATGTTGAAGACAGCTTCAACATGGATGCTGTCCAGGAGGTGGGAGGGTCTGGGAGGGAGGGTCTGCCGGAGATTGGCAGGGATGTGTCAGCTGACCGGAGTTCGCCGCGAACCGTTTGCGGCAAGTTCGCGACATCACTAATCAACAATACACACCGGGAGCACCACCAAGATTTGCCGTTTTGGTGATGCTCTAATCCAGTCAAAAACACCTCAATCTTTTCACTTGCCCATTTATACTGCTTTCAACATGTAAAATTTAAGAACTGACTGTTCACTTGCTGCTTGATATATCCCACCCCTGACAGGTGCCATTTTAACAGTATAATCAACGTTGTTCACTTCACATATTAGTAGTTTTAATGTTGTGACGGATCAGTCTAGTTTTGTGGTGGCTAAAAACAGCAGTGTGATGCTGCCGGAGGTGGAGATACATCTCTGGTAGTAGTGGAGTTATCTCTATATGTGCAGTGTTTCAAATCGAAATGCTGCCTATACAGACTTCAGGCACCATGACCACTTCAAATCACTGAAGTGGTAATGGATCTTGGAGTAACCCTTTAACTCTACCAAATTTGAAGATGAGAGGCCAATGTGAACAGGAGTTATGTTAGATTCAGTAAAACCAGAATTCCCATTTACAGTAGTTTCCTTACAGCAGACAAGTTTAAACATGACTTGCATGTTACATCACAAAGTTCTGCTGTGATCTTGGCAGAGTGAAAATTGTTCCATTGCACCATGAAGTGAATTGGAGTGGTATAAAGCCTTCCTTACCATTACAATATGTGCAAGTGACTCAGAAATTAACACATTTTCTAGCATAGGCATGCGCAGCACATTTCTTTAGGGTGTGCACCCAGGAGTTCTTTCTTGATATTTTTTTTAAAAAAAATTTATTTTTATATAAGGTGAATTTTTATGAAAGGAACATTTCAAACATCATAAACACTATCCACTGCAGTAGTTATAGTGCCAGTACCGCTCTGGTGTCCTTCCAGTGTAATTTGTCATATTGTTGTAAAACAGTTTAACAACTTTACTGGGTCCAACTGGTCGCTTGCAACTGGAGTCCCTGCTTCCTGTTCCTCCTTGCAGACCCTGATTTAGCCCTATAAAGACACCCAGCATCTTCTACAGTACATGACTTGCGGTGCTGTGAAGGTGCCTGGAAGACCCATGAAAATTGTCAAATTCTTCTAAAAACTACATTAGAAAGGTGCCAGTGCACTCCAAGCACCATAACCAGGCTACAGAGATTGTGGTGGTTAGTGTATTCCTTTAAATACTCAAATCACAAATGTATTTTTTAAACCAACAAACCCGAATAGTGATATGTATGTGCAAAGACTGTGTGCCCAGACCAGACCCCACTCATAAATCCAAACAAAGAATGACTGGCCACAAGTTGGAAAAAATCCAAGCTAGACTTACTGAATCACGATCAACAATGTTTTGGCTCCAGAAGTGCCTTTCTCAAACTGAGCTGACAAAGGCTCTTCTAGGGCTGAAATGTTGTTGATTGTTTGTATATACAATACATAAATATGCATACTGCCAAACACATACATGTGTAGAATTTTACATCATATTCAAACAATTAAGTATTTTTACTTTGTTTTTTTGGGGGGGTGTTGGTATGGAGGAGGGAAAAACTTGAAAATCTTGTGCCTACATGTGCTCGTGATGTCAATTCAGCTAGGTGGCAGGTTGCAAACTGCACCCTAGCCCAGCATTATAAGAGCTGAAGCCATTATAAAAGGTGAAACAGCTGGCAAGGGTACCAAAGTGCTACCTGTGTAACATTTCTATTGGCTTCACAGTTCTCGTGCAGCAGGTGAGTTTTCTTAGCAGCCCAGGACAGATGCAGGGTCAGTGTGATGGTGGCAGGCTCTCCTCTGCAACAACTGCAAATGTCACTGATGACATGGTCCATGTTTGACAAGCAGTATGTCAAAACTCCTCCCCAGCTATCATGGCCCATTAACACCTGCACAATTCCAGAATGCACTCACCAGAGGGGAAAAGGAGGTGATGCAGAAAGCATGTTGCGGTGTTTACCGAGTTTGCACTAAAGTAAGCAAGCCTTCACAATTAACACAAATAAAATTAACCTCTTACTGACCAGACCGCTTTTCAATTTTCTTACCGTTTGGGACCAGGGCTCTTTTTACATTTCTGAGGTGTTTGTGTTTAGCTGCAATTTACCTCTTACTCATTTACTGTACTCACACATTTTATATACCGTTTTTCTCGCCATTATATGGTCTAACGATACCCTTATTTTCATTGTATCATATAATTTACTATAAAATAAATTATAAAATGATGAAAAAAATAACACTTTTTCTAACTTTGAGCACCAAAATCTGTTACGCATCTACAACCGCCAAAAAACACTCATGAGAAATAGTTTCTAAATTATGTCCTGAGTTTAGAAATGCCCAATGTTAACATGTTCTTAGCTTCTTTTGGAAAGCTATAGGGCTTTAAGTACAAGTAGCACTTTGCTCTTTTCAAACCACTTTTTTTTCTCCAAAATTAACACAAGTTACATTGTAACACATCTGTCAGGAATCCCTAAATAACCCTTCACATGTATATATTTTTAAAAGAGGACAACCTAAGGTATTAAACTTGGGGTATTTTGACTCTTTTCATGCAACCATTTTACCACCAATCTATTTTTTTTTTTTTTTTTTACTCTTTAGCAGCCTGGGTGACTGACAGCTCAGACAGTCCCCCTGCTGGCAGCACCTAGACTCCTATTGCCGCGATGTAATCATGGTGATCACATGGCCCTGGAGGACCGGAGCTGCTGCAGGGGACTGCTGGGGTCTCCAGCAGTCCCCTCAGACCATGATCGTCGGTCCAGGTAAGTCCAGGGTTCCTATTTGTCCTTAACGACCGCTGATGGCTTCCGATGCTCTGCCTCACTGCCGGGCTCCATGTGGAGCAACCTGGAAGTGATCGCTCCAGTGGGAGCGATCACCCAGTGTTCTCCGGCGGCCAGGCAGTGAGGGGGGAATTGCATCGAGGCATCTCTGCAATACCATTAGAGCTGCTGAAAGCGATAATGATTGCTTCCAGCGCTCTAATACCTGATACGTCCGCGGTCCTTAAAGACCATTTTTTGTCGGATGTACCGGATACGTCTGAGGTCACTAAGGGGTTAAAGGAACACTAAAATATTAGGAATTCAAAGCTGTATTCTTAATACTATAGTGTCCCTCTCCCACGACAATAAAAGGATTGAAAACCCTCTAAATAACTTACCTGATTCCAGTGCCGAAGTCCCTCTGTGCTGGTTGCACCTTTGCCAACGCCATCACAAGGGGGAACCTAAGGCACATGCCCCGTGCGTTAGACCTTCCCCATACGGTAGCACTGAATATATACTTTCCTATGGGGTTTTGCAAGATGCTAGCAGAAAGCACCTCTAGTGGATGTTTGGGAGACAGCCTTTAGAGACAGTCTTAACCCTGCAATGTAAACATTGCAGTATCTCTAGAACTGCAACGTTTTACATTGCAGGATTAAATGGACTGCATGCAGACTACTTCAATGAGATGAAGTAATCTTGGTGTCTATAGTGACTTTATTTTGTAAAGATTGAGAGAATATTGCACAAATCAATTATCCAGGGAATAATTTCAGCAGGGTGCTTCAAACTGAATGGACCAATGTTCCATACAGAATATAGAAGTGAAAAGGTGGTCTGGGCACACTTGGAGGCTTCTTTGATAGACAGTCTTTATTTGGAGTGCAGAATAAAATACAACGTTTTGGCTCAGGGCAGCATAAATGTTGTATTGTATTCTGCACTCCAAATAATGACTGCTTTTCAACGAAACCTCCAGGTGTGCCCAGACCACTTTTTCAGTACTAGAGAGTCCCTTTAAACTCACGCATCTTTTTTAAAAAATTTTTTTTTTTTTTTAAAGGCCTTTGTTTTTAAAATGTTTCAAAAGTTATCCAGATAGGAGTCCGGGAAAAAAATAAATATATATGCCTCTCTTTTCTTTCTAGTAAAATATACTTCTACATAAATTACAGGGATGTGCAGTTCGTATCGCCCGACGCCCAGGACATGCAGTTCCGGGCGCCAGGAAGGTTGTTTATTTTGTCCTTTAGTCCAGCACCCGGAGTTGCAGACTGGAGGGAAAGCCCACTGGACTACCAAAAAAAAAAAAAAAAAAAAAAAAAGTGTATTTCCAACACCCTCCCTCACGGTGTCACCCCCTCCTTCCCTCAGTCACTTCCTGTCTCAATGTGTCACCAGTCACCCCTTCCCTCACTGTTACCTAAATTACTATCGATAAATAACTTCTTTGAAAACAGTTTGGATTAAAATTATTTTTTGTATCAGGACAAGCAGATTGTCATGGCGGACAAGTAAATTGGGCAAACGCTTTAGTCCCTGGATAAGTAGTTTGTGGTTTGTTTGTTTTTTTAATTTCCACACCCCTGCATTATTATGTGCATGAAACTGAGATGGAAATATCAACAGTGCACCTTAAAAAGTATGTGGGGCCCTTTATCAGATCATCTCTGATTATGGTACAGTCTCATGCTGCAGTTATTTTGCTGCGTGACTTGTGGAGCACATGTAGAGCATCAAGAGAGAGAGATATAAGAGGTCCTGTGTGTAAGGAAAGACAACAGTCTGGACGTCCAACAACTCCCTCATGCCAATGCCAGCTTGCTCTGAACCCCCATGACACATATCTCCACTCATTACAGTCAAAGTGATGAGGAAATGTGGCAAGGCCATGGTAATCCTCAGTCATGAAGATGTTTAAAGCCATTATTCATGTTTCTGTTTCCTTTACTGAACAATATATGTAAGATTTTCTAAATCTGTTGCATAAAAGAATTGAAAATTTGTGGATAGTTATTACACAGATGAATGGGTTCTAACCCTCAGGGATAAAGCCAATAGCTAGAGTGTAAAAAAAAACAAAAAAAACACACGTGTATTAGCACATTAAAAGGTTAATTAATGCTCAATTATGCAAAGTCCAAAATAAAAACAATCACAAAAAAAAAAAAAGGTATGTATTATAAAAAAATATAACAAACCCAATACCGGTTCGAGGAGATGGACATTGCCTTTTACTCCAACCTCTCCCACATGACCATGAAGCGGCGGAAGTCACTCCGTCCCCTTACGAGTAAAGGTAGAAGGTAAGTGTATCAAATACCGCTGGGGATTGCAACACTTTCTTGGAACGCTTTCAGAGATGGAGACAGTCCTGACCAGTCTAGGTCAGAGCCACAATGCAACACCTGCACCTACAACTTGGGACCTAGCTAACATCGTCCTATTCACCCCGGTGATCAAGAACGCAACGAACCTGGCGGTTACCTGACTTTGACGGATCCTTTTTCTTTTTATATATTTGAGCCCATGACACCCATGGTGCTTACCCTTTTCATATCGGAATTGAATAATATTTTGTATAATTATCGCTGAATTTTCTTTTGTTCAAGGTTATGCACAACATTGCAGAAAAGGGCCGGATACACTAGCACCTATTCTTCCACTAATTATTCACTAGCCGATTGTCAGGAGAAGTTCTACAGAAGGAAAAGACCTAAAGTAATGCCAGTATACCCACTTCACCCAGTATAGCACTTAATAATATTAGGTTAGCCAATAGCAAGATTGAATAAAAGTAGCAAATAAACTATGAGAAATAAAGCAAAAAACCCCGCAATGTTTAGGTGATATACCACCACCTTAAAATATCAAAGTGCGATACAGTTAACTATATGTAATTTACTTTTATGTTAATTTTTTGACATATTAAATGTATATACTTTAAAGGACCACTCTAGGCACCCAGACCACTTCAGCTTAATGAAGTGGTCTGGGTGCCAGTTCCCTCTAGGATTAACCCCTTTTTATAAACATAGCAGTTTCACAGAAACTGCTATGTTTATAAATGGGTTAATCCAGCCTCCAAATCTCATTGACAGCCGCTAGAGGCGCTTGCGTGCTTCTCACTGTGGAAATCACAGTGAGAAGACGCAAGTGTCCATAGGAAAGCATTGAGACCGGCTGAATGCGCGCGCAGCTCTTGCCGCGCATGCGCAGACAAAGAGGAGGATCGGAGGCGGAGAGCTCCCCGCCCGGCGCTGGTAAAAAGGTAAGTTTAACCCCTTTCCTCGCCATCCAGCCCAGCGGGAAGGGGTCCCTGAGTGTGTGGGCACCCTCAGGTCACTATAGTGCCAGGAAAAAGAGTATGTTTTCCTGGCACTATAGTGGTCCTTTAACTATCACCACCTTAGTCTATCAGCCTGATCCTTACATCTTTGGGTTTGGAAAACAAAAAGGGGGGGCATTGCCACTTCTTATCTGGCAATGTGTCTTCACACTTAGAGCCAGTATATTATGGGCTCCTGGTTAAGGTGAGCAAAACCAATACAGCTGTATATAGTTTTTAATACCACTATAAAAGGTATTTTCACTATTGTGTGCTCCTTTTCTCTGTTTTTCATTTTCTATATGCACTTTATTGGAGATTTCTGATCCACAGAAGAGGTACAGTTGCCGCCAGAATAAATAAAAGGAGGTGGATGAACACTTGGGGATTTAAAAATCGTACTTCTAACTAGCAATGAACCTAAAAGGCCTCCGTTAAAAATACGGATTAAAGACAAGAGCCTCCTCTGAACATTGAAATAGCTAATGCAACTTGTGTGCCGCAGATTGGTAAGAAAAAATGATTACATGTTTACAGCTTACCTCTATCATAACTCTCCTTCCTATGCCAGATTTAAAATATCCAGATTACAACACACCAACAGGGTGTTACCCATCTTTGCATTTAAATGCCAACAATATTTCTCATTTTTTTTTCCACCCTTACAGAAAAGATCCACAACACCCAGAGTGGAAGTTTACATTTAAAAATAGATTTCACGTATAGGTTGGGCTTAATCTGCAGCATTTATGCACATTTCAAAGTGTGTCCAAAGGGCTACCTTGTAAAGATAAATGGGAGCAAGAACTCAGAGTACATGGATCATTATTATTCAAATTGTTAGAAGCAAGGAGGAAACATCAAACATATGAGTCTATGCAAGGAGAGTCATTCTGCCAGATACTGTAGATCACTGATCAATGTGCCAATATATATCCTGAAAATATCAAGAGTTTTATTCACCCCTTAAAGGGACAATATAGTCACCAGAACAACTACAGCTTAATGAAGTTATGAGGTCTATAGACTATGGATCTGTGAAGAGATATAAGAGGGGCTAGAATTGTTCAGTACTTTATGTATGGGTTAGCACTTTGAATTGACTCAAAGGAAGCCGATGTAAGGACTAACAGAGAGGTGAGGTGTGAGAGGACAGACTAGAAAGGAAAATCAATCTGGCGGCAGCATTCATTACAGACTATAGCGGGGTAATACGGCTTTTGGGAAGACCAATCAGGAGAGGGTTACAATAATAATTTTGCATATGCAAATGTGTTCAGCAAAGCATCACCTTTTTGCTTCATTATTCCATTTTAAACATGGATTCCTTGAAGATTATGTTTGCTGTATACAACAGCTTTGAAACAACTCAGGAAGAGATGCAAAGTCGGTTCACCATGAACAGCTGTTTTTGTTGGTAATGCCACTCAGCAGCATGAGGTTGGATCATCCACTTACTGAGTAACTGCCACTAGAAGTGTTACTAGGCAGCAATGTAAACATTGTTTTTTCTCTAAAAAGGCAGCGTTTACATTGAAAAGACTGCAGGGACAGGCTGTAGACACCAGAACCACTAGATTAAGCTGTAGTCGTCCTGGTGAGTATAGTGTCCCTTTAATAACATGGTTTGCCTACCGATCTCCTTTTTATATACAATGTTAAACATGGTTCTAACAATTATGTGCACTTCTGCATAAAATGCTCCAAAGGAACACCCCCAGGCAACATAACCACTAGAGCATACAGAAATGGTTATAATACCATCTGTCTCCTGGCACCACCCTTATGCAAGTAGTCAAACCATTTACATATGGTATGACAACTCATCTGGTGCTTGCTGAGTGGCAATCACAGACTGTTCGACAGCCCAAAGCTCTCACATTGAGCTAAGCTCATAGTTTAACCCCTTAAGGACACGACATGTCTGGATTCCCTTTTATTCCAGAAGTTTGGTCCTTAAGGGGTTAAGAAATGATCAACTGATGTTCTCAGTCAGTCAATGAGCTGGCTGTGCATGGCAGGTTTAGCTAAAGAAGGTTAAAAACAAACAAACCAAAAAAAAAGAGCCCCAAGCAAGTTGCCAACCATTAGTAAATGGTTTAACTACTTACTTATGGAGGGACCAAGGTGCACCTAGAACCACTATAGTGGTTATGGTGCTTGGATAGTTCCATTATGTTTTTTTTGCTGTGCCCTTCTGTTGTTTTAAGCATTCTGAACCTTTGTGAATAAATTCTGAAGATTTGATTGAATGCATGTTTTTCTGTTCATCCTATTTGTACCCATGCTATTTTTGTTCTTTATACTTTCTTGAAATGAAGATGGGCATTTTATCAAGACGAAGAAGCACCAGTGTAAAGGCAAGACTTCATTAGATGTCCTGAAGTGGTTGCATGGTAACCTTAATAATACTTGTCAATTGTATTCCCTAAATCTCCTTCTAGGATTAAAGGGTAACGGTGATTAAAAATATTTTTAAAATTTCTTTGTAATTAAAATAAATGTAGTAAGGCATTACTGTAGTTAAAGCAGTAAGCGCAACAGACAAATTATTTTTTCTTATGAGCTGCCACTTCATAGGACATAAGTATACTCTGTCATTGTAGAGAAAGCACCTCTATTAGTTGAGTGGAAGACAGCGACTAGAAGTGTGTTTAACCCTGCAATGTAAACATTGCAGTTTCTATAAAACTGCAAAGTTATACATTGCAGGGTTAAAAGGACATAAAGATGGTCTGAGGGACTTTAGTGGTCCTTTAACCCATTGAAGACACATCAATTAGCCTCTTTTATACTTAAAGGGTTACTCCAACCATTAGGACTACTTTGACTTTTTAAAGTGGTCATGTTGATAGGAGTCTGCATGTGCAGTGTGTCAGCTTGAAATTCTGCACATATTTGCACTTTTGTGCCGTGGGCTAGTTGTAACCCAGGCATATGTAATGTACTGCCAATTCTGTGCAAAAATTACTTCATGCTGTGCTTGCTGGCAACAGATGTGGTCAGCTTCTCCCTTGCAGGCAGCGTGCCTGAAAGGGGAAGCTTAATTCTCACCCCCTCTGTGCAGTTCCTCCTAATGCTACCCGCCGCCCTCCATTTTGCAACCTTTTTATTTATTTATTTTAAATATACCTAATCGCCTTCCTTGGCTCCTTTAAGACAGTAGGTGCTCGATACATTTTTGTCTGTATGTGATAGTGGAATAGCCCCGTGTGGGTGGACACAAGGCGTTTAAATACGGGGAAATGAGACTGTCGCGGTGACAGGAGAACTGCGCCATCATGCATTGTACCACAGCGCCCGCGCGTCCTATAGGCAACTTAGGCAGTCGCCTACGGCGCACCGGCCCGGAGGGGGCGCCAGATTTGAGTGACCGGCAAAAGGGTAGCGCACAGCGCTCCCTCCTACCCTTCACTCAGTGTAGTGTGGTCAGGCGGCGCAGACTGGGGTACAGGACATCTGTTTCTAGTGTACTGGTAACTGGGACTGGATGTCTAAAGCCAATTTATACTACTATTATTGTGAGGATAATAGGGTGTGTTTTTTTCTCTATGCACATCCTTTTATAGCTTTGTGGAATGAAATTTCTAAGCTTTCCATTGTTCAATACCCCCAGGCAAACTACAAATTAATGCACCTGTTGCAGGATATCTCAGAGCCTTTACAGCATGAGCAGTCTTAAAGGACCACTATAGTGCCAGGAAAACATACTTGTTTTCCTGGCACTATAGTGCCCTGAGGGTGCCCCCACCCTCAGGGTCCCCCTCCAGCCCGGCTCTGGAAGGGGGAAATGGGTAAAAACTTACCTTTTTCCAGCGCTGGGCGGGGAGCTTTCCTCCTCCGATCCTCCTTCTCTCCTCCCCGTCGGCTGAATGCGCACGCGCGGCAAGTGCTGCGCGCGCATTCAGCCGGTCGCATAGGAAAGCATTATCAATGCTTCCCTATGGACGATGGCGTGCTCTCACTGTGAAAATCACAGTGAGAAGCACGCAAGCGCCTCTAGCGGCTGTCAATGAGAGAGCCACTAGAGGGAATGGGGGAAGGCTTAACCCATTCATAAACATAGCAGTTTCTCAGAAACTGCTATGTTTCTTAAAAAATGGGTTAACCCTAGCTGGACCTGGCACCCAGACCACTTCATTAAGCTGAAGTGGTCTGGGTGCCTAGAGTGGTCCTTTAACCTACTATCCATTTGTGAATATTCTGGCAGTTTTAGTTTCAGTATATTTAAGCCCTGAAGTTTTACACTCTATATTTTCTCCTTTTTGTATGTACATTTTATGTTGAAATTTAGAACAACTACTGTGAGGGTTTCCCCCTTCTTTTTCATCTTTGGGGCAATTGCATCTGTGTTCCTAACACTATAGTGTTCCTTTAATGCAAAGCTATATTCCAAACACTAGTGTCCCTCTGCTACTGCACCCGCCCTCCCCCGGAGAAACAAGCAAAACCACCTTTATCCGATTCCAGTGCAGATGTCCCTTGATGCTGGATCTGGCTCCTCCAAGGCGCAAATGTTAGGTCTTCTCCATAGGAAAGCATTTACTCAATGCAAAACGTGAAACAGGAAGGCCCTCTACAGGCAGTCTTAACAATGCAATGTAAAAGCAGTTTCTCTAAAACTGCAATGTTTTACATTGTAGGGTTAAGGGAACAGGGGCACTGCACATTAATGAGATGAAGTGGTATGGATGCCTACAGTGTCCCATTAAGGGCATAGTGCACTTTGTGTGTTTGACATGTACCAGTATATTGTGATTTGGAAGGTGATATTTGAAAATTGCTAATGTGGTCACAATATACAAATTGTTTGTTTGCACAGCGCACCTTATAGTGTTAATATTTTTATTTGTGTGTGAGCACTTTATTAGGTTGCTTCTATTTGTACAGATATTTCTAGAGCTAATTATTCACTTGATTCTGCATTTTATCACACAGGACCTGAATGGATTTATAAAATTAATTTCTGTAGACATTTAAAGCGTACACTAAAGGGACAATATATAATATGAGCTTAATGGGGTGTTTTGGTGAATAAATCATGCCGCTGCAGTTTAACAGCTCAATTTGTTCTAGGAGTTAATTGTCTATGCAGCCCATTCACACCTCTCCTGCATGTGACCTACACAGTATCTCTCAAGAGAGATCCAATATTTAAAGGACCACTGTTGGCACCCAGACCACTTCAGCTCAATGAAGTGGTCTGGGTTCCAGGTCCCTCTAGTTTTAACCCTGCAGCTGAAATCATATTCACTGAGGGTTAATCCAGGCTCTAGTGGCTGTCTCACTGACAGCCGCTAGAGGTGCTTCCGTGATTCTCAGTGAAAAGTACAGCGAGAAGACGATGGACATCCATAGCAAAGCATTGAGTAATGCTTTCATATGGGCTGTTTGAATGCGCGCGCGGCTCTTGCCACTCATGCTCATTCGGATCTAACGTCGGCAGGGGGTGGAGAGTTCCATAGCACAGAGGGACCCAGCCCTGGAGAAAGGTAGGTGGCTGACACAATGTGCTGTTGCATCTGAATGAAATATTAAATTTATTTTTTTCATGGAGGCAGTGTGAGTTACAGCCCAGGGAAAGTGTGGCTATTGTTGCATAAACAAAAGGAATTTAACTCGTAATAGTCAGAATTCAACAGTGATAGTACAGACATTATCTATATTCTATACACTTAACGGATTAATTACGTTTAAATTGGTTTTGGTGCTTAGAGTATCTGCTTAACTGTAACCAATATTCAATATGGAACCAATAGACTAAGGATGACAGCATATCCCTGGTTGTAGGGCAGGCAGGGAAAAACCTTAAAAGCAGGTGTCACTGCTCCCCCTTCCCACAAAAACATGTATTTCACAATTATAAAATAAAAACTACTTTGACTCATGCATTTTTCCTACGCCTGACAAGATCTGATAAAGGTGGAGCTACAGTCGTCAAGTTGTCATTTACTCCAGCAGTCACTATGACGGCTGTAGAGGAGAAGAAGGCACGTCCACAGGCATCAGTGTTATACTCTCATGCGTATGACGCTCCCTGTCAGATGAAGCACCAGGATCTGAAAAGGACCGCTAAATGGCAAGAGTCCGCTTCACACCTTCCCCTGCAGTCACTGCTTTTAATTGGGAAATTACCTTCCTTCCACTTTTTTTAATGATTACAGTTAACATTAAGGTAAAAAAAATAAAAAAATAAAAATATTTACAATGTAAAAATAAGTAAATTATTAATGCAATTTTTTCTTAATCTGGTTACCAATTTATTTTTCAAAATTTTGGAATCTTTAGCACTATCTTTTCAGACCCAGAATCCTCAACTAAACTCCATGCACTGTTTATTTGCCATACACAAGCTCTCTCTCCTCTTTGGAAAGAGCAGAGGTATGTCCATGAAATCTTTGTGGAAGAGTGCTGCTCAGACTGCAGTAGTGCAATCAAGGAAACAGGGTGGCTAAATCCCTTGTAGAATCAATATGAACATTACAAATCCCAGCATTCCAACTGGGAAACAGTCTTTAATCGAAATCAGAGCACATAATGACATTTCAACAATGCCATGTGGTCTTTATCAAGTCTAAATACCATTGCAACACACACAAATATATACCCACTCCGATAAAACAATTAACAAAACATTCAAGGTGCTTAGAACGTCACCCCACGGAATCCGCTTCACCGGAGGTTCCCCGGCACTTCCTTTCATGTTTTGCTGGAAGACGCATAGGCGTACGTCCTGCTGCACTCATGTGAATCTATGTCATAACACATGTTCACCATACGTGGTGACTATATCCCTAGGGAAACGGCTTCCACTGGAACCATAGTGCAATGTGTGTGAGAGCCAATTACTCATGTGGTACACTGTATAAACACAACAACATTTGACACAATGTAATCCACATGGGCCTATAGCAAAATAGTGCACATAATTTGATACATATAGTAATAAAAATGAAGAGTAATAGATAATGTAATTTAAACAAAATTACAAATATACATGTCCAAATCACATTTTCTGAATAAATTGTTACTTTTAAAAAAAATTTTTTTTTTTATTAATTTCCTCTGTTAATCAATTCATCAATTAATATAAGACAATCCAGTTACTAAAACTCATATAATCATCTTTATTCTTCCTATAAGAGAGCTGGATAGTAACCAAAGTAACATTCATATAAAGAATCATAAAGCCTCAGTAGAGGGAACATAGTTACAGATAAATGCTTACTAGGAATGCATGGATCCATAATTTTCATATTCCTCTTTAACTCATTGATGGCCAATGTACATGGTTAGTCATCACAAAGTGTCTTGATGATGTACCCAGTCAATCTGAGCCATTGATCTTCCCTATAGTGGCAAGGCACAACTATTACTAAATGCTATACTAGTGAGACAGTCCAGCAATAAACTCTGAAGGCTGCCCTAGGAATCCAATCATTGTGGTATCATGTAGCAGCAGCTTCATATGGGCTTCTGTACAAGCTAATTCCAGAATGTATTAGATTGTTGATAGATGCCTCACACATGAAACAGAATAGTAATATGATTTCTGAAACATTGTAAAAATGATTAGCCGTCTCAGCCAGTGATGTAAGGCTGGAAGCAACCACTGTTGATTATCTTGTACCTGGCAACTGCTGTAAGCCCCACAAATGAGGCAGTTCCGCAATATACACAGGCACTGTGAACAACTAAGAAAAGGTGTTGTGATTCTTGCACTAATCATTAAGCCTGAAGTCCCTTAAAGTCTATGACTAGGGTAATCAGAATTGCAATGGTCAGTCTAAGCACCAACACCACTTCAGTTTACTAAAGTTATTGGTGCACAGATTTTTTTCCCCTGCAGTCTTTTGAGTTTATTCTACCTGGAGAGATTTGTCTTTTTATTGTTCCCCTACCCACATCTCCTCTAGTTGGGAAAGCCACAATACAGGTAAAGGTGAGACTTACTTACCTGAACCTATCCCTCAAGGACGCAGCCATCTTGATGTGCATGAGTACAGCATTGAGGTCTATGGTGCATCCTGCAAGACCGTGGGATCCTCCCTAGACACTGGTGACAGCGGTCGGTATTTACAGAGACTCCATCCCAAGTCAAAGAAAGTCAGGCAGAGGAGACATACAGAGACAAAGTAGTCTGTACTTTAGCTCTCTTGACAGGGTTATAATTTCAGAGAAATTCAACCATAGTCAAAATGAGTATTTCATAAAAATTCTATCTTTATAAAATGCAAATTTTTCGGGGGACAGTGCCGCATTCATTTTGAGGCTTACAGCAGTGTTAGGCAACATTCAGCACTCCATTTGTTGTGTGGATTACATCTCCTATGATACTCTACCAGTATTATGGATGCACAAACATTATGGGAGCTATAGACCACAACATCTGGAGTGCCAAAAGTTGTCTACCTCTGGATGTTTAAATGGTTACTCCAACCCATTTTTATTCAACATTTAATCAGGAATGCATTATTGGGCCTACTGTCTTGCTCCCCTTCCCCCCCCAAAAAACAGGTAAGTTTCCACCGCCAGTCTGGTAAAGTCACGGCAGCCAGTGGTGTATTTACCGCGAGGCTGACAAGGCATTTGCATTGGGCAGCACTTTCCAAGGGTGGAAAAAAAGGGCCCCCGAGGCTGGCAGCAGCGGCATTTTCCAGGCGGGCGGCAAGGGAGCACTGATCCTCCTGTTCAGCTACCCTGCGTGCACCGCAGTGATGCCGGAGCCGGAAAATGACGTCACTCTGGCCCAGTCATCACTACGCGGCGCGCAAGGGAGCGGAACAGGAGGATTAGTGCTCCCTCGCCGACTGCAGCGATTGGCCAGCCGCCCAGCAGTCCCACTGGACCCCAGGGAAAGCGAGAATCCACCCCAGCACTCTCAAAAGGTAGGGAGGCTGGGGTGATTGAATTTACATTAGGTGGGGGGGGAGACCTAATGTGCATGCGCGGAAATGGCCGCGCTCGCATTAGGATTCCTTTAACACTGGATGTCCTCATGCATATCGTGAGGACGTCCAGCGTCATTTGAACAACCAAAAGCAGTCTAAACACCCGGAAGACCCTCTAGTGGCTGATAGACAGTCACTAGAGGTGGAATTAACCCTGAGAGGTAATTATTGCAGTTTCTCAGAAACTGCAATAATTACTACTGTGCTGTAGGGTTAAGGGGCATTGCAGCCAGACCACTTCAATGAGCTGAAGTGGTCTGGGTGCCTATAGTTTCCATTTAAATCAGTTCAGAGCGCATGTGGGCGGTCTGAGCTGGTAAGTGGAGAGAATGGTGCTGAACAGGAGATGGAAAAAAAATAAAATAAAAAAAAACAACAACAACAAAAAAACGGTTGATTAAGGGGATAGGGAGAATGAGGAGAGAGGGAAGGTGTTATACGATGGAAGGGAGATGAACACTTCCTCTTGCAGGTGGTACCTGCAAAGGTAAAACCTCAGTATGTCTGTCAGTGAGCGGACATTTATTTTTGCATAGTATTGACATTAGGCAGGCCAGTGCTCTGTCACATGTGCCTGGAGAGTACCTAGCACAAAAATTATTATATCCTAAAACTATGACCACTTCTAAAAGAAAAAATGGTCATGATGGTTGAAGTAAGAGCATGTGCCCCAAACAAACATTCTTAAGTTTGCACACAGGACTGAGATAAATATATTCAAGATACTGGCCTTACTTATTCTAACAATCTTATTTTTCTATTGTATTCCGATCTACCTTCATCCTATATAACATTACTGTTTAATTGAAGACCATTGTACCGTCCATGCTCAACTCTCTGTCAAATATTTGTTTATTTTTGTTAGTGTTAGAGTTATTGCACTGGGTCTTGTTAATCTAGGTTTACAATGCATGACTTTCACCTATCTGATCTCTCCCATTCCCTCATGAGTATTTCTCCTCTGCTTTTTTCCTTGATTGTTTTTGTTTCTCACCTCAGTATCTGCACAGTGCCTTCCCACCCTTCAGTTATTCTCCCCAGCTACTGAATAGGAGGTGGCTTTGCTTCTCCTTTCCTTCCGTCCCATCTCACCTTTTCAGATCTCTTTGCCCCTGACTTTTGTCATCCTGAATGCATATATTTAACTGCTCTCTTTCTTATAGCATTGCCCCTGCATGCTTGTCCATTGGATCATTGAGCCCAGTTAATTCTCCAAGGGGTATAGTGTTTTTTTTTTTTTATATAACGGTGTGACTTGCACATCCACCTTTTGCAATTCTTTCTAGTTTTCAGAATCTTGTATATTAAGATCTGTTTAAAATGCTTAGAAATAAAGCCTCTCTTTTCCGGGCTTTTCCATTCCAGATTACATAGAATGTGAAGGCAGATAAGAACCATTTGTGAGGCATGAATATTTTGGATGCAATGGGAAACCCTTCCCTTTTTCTGTAGAATATCACCTTTCCCCATAACAGACACCATCTATTTAAAGGACCACTCTAGGCACCCAGACCACTTCAGCTTAATGAAGTGGTCTGGGTGCCAGGTCCAGCTAGGGTTAACCCATTTTTTCATAAACATAGCAGTTTCAGAGAAACTGCTATGTTTATGAATGGGTTAAGCCTTCCCCTATTTCCTCTAGTGGCTGTCTCATTGACAGCCGCTAGAGGCGCTTGCGTGCTTCTCACTGTGATTTTCACAGTGAGAGCACGCCAGCGTCCATAGGAAAGCATTATGAATGCTTTCCTATGTGACCGGCTGAATGCGTGCGTAGCTCTTGCCGCGCGTGCGCATTCAGCTGACGGGGAGGAGAAGAGGAGGATCGGAGGAGGAGAGCTCCCCGCCCAGCGCTGGAAAAAGGTAAGTTTTAAACCCTTTCCCCCTTCCAGAGCCGGGCGGGAGGGGGACCCTGAGGGTGGGGGCACCCTCAGGGCACTATAGTGCCAGGAAAACAAGTATGTTTTCCTGGCACTATAGTGGTCCTTTAACAAACTTGATTAAACCCTGGATAGGTGTGTCTGACCAATGTGAGCATTCGCCTGACGACAAGGACATCTGCATTTTCTTTCCTTTACTGGTTCTGCCACTCATAGATGTAGAATCTTTGGATTTAGCAACTGGTTTTTTAAAATGTCTCATAAGTCTGGGAGAGGTTTACGTGGAACCATTTAAGAAATGTATGCACCTCCTCTTGTTTAGCTCTTTCAAATTATTCTGTTGAGCATTAGTTACAAATCTTTTTCTTACAGCTGTTCGGATGGCACATTCAATACAAGCGAGATGCTTTGTTTTGCAAGATGCCTTAAGTCTTGGAGATGTGGTAAACAGGCTTATATGGTTTATCCATCTTATCTTGGGAGATAGGAAAAATCATCTGTAAAATATATTAAATCGAAGCCTTGTGAGAGAAGAAATAGCCATGAAGACTTTAAGTTAAAAGAAAAGGTATATTCATTACCTTAAAGACCACAGAACCACGGAGGGAGGAGGGGGTTGCTGGTGACACTGTAGTCCTGTACTGACAAGCACCCTGGCTATCAGACAGGTATGCACAGCTTAAATAGGCACCTAATATGTCAAAATTGGCAGCAGAAACGCAATTGAGTTTGCGTATATTCTGTAGCGTGATCTGCATTTGGTTGAAGACTCCATGCCTTCTCAGCACCTCCCAAAGCCACCTCTAGAGACTTGTGCACTTCTGAAGAGCCATTTAAAAAAAAATAAAAAAAAATACAAACACAGACTACTACCTGACTTGTTCCTTTACTTTTGTCGGGCTCCTGGATGGCTGCCTTATAGTTTTCCACCCAGGGAACTATCTGGCCATGCCCCCAGGTTGCAACATGCGCACCTCACCGTCCGAATCTGATCCAGAGGCTCCCGTCTGTCCTGCACATGAGACAAGTGGAACCGGATGCTGTGGGCTGCTTGTAGTTATTTAAGGCACGAAGGGGTGGATTTTCTTTGTCCACCTTAAGGAAAAATATCCCTCCTATAGCGACGGTATACAACAGAAAAAAAATGGTGATTAAATAGGCTTCCCCTGCAGGAGAAGCCAGATGCAGTCACCAAATTAAGCAGACCGACAGACACCTGCACTCAATGGCTGAGAATACTCCGCTGAGTGCAATGCAGAAAGGCTCTGATTAGCTATCTATAGCTAACCAGATTCTTCTGCAGGAGAATCCAGAAGCAGGCTGCGTGGCCACAGGCAGACAGCAATACCCAGGTATCATTGATAAAAATTATTCTCTATCCATATATTTTTACTTACAGACTCCATATGCCTTGGTTCATATAAGAAGCTAGATGAGCTCCCCATCTTTTTTTCTGATGTGCGCACTATGGGATATTTGGGGGAGCTGAAACTACAATATCTGCAAAGACCTCTGAAGGTGACAGAGCCACTTTAACCGCTGCTGAGTTGTCCACATAGGCTGCAATGTTCACCCCAGTTAACAGCAAAAGATTTTACAAGGGTTGTGAAATGAGGAACTGTCAGTTCCATAGAACTTACACTTGTGACAAAAACAGACAAAAAGCAATGTACGAAAATTAATATCTATGCACTTAAAGAAAATCCATGAAGACATAAACTATCCAAAAAGTGAATACAAATACAAAAAGATAAGTCCTGCGCTCACTCCCAATACTCCTGGGCGGCAGCAACGACCACAGCCCCAATATATATAGTAAAAACCAAAGGAAAAAAGTTACCTGCGCTGTCCAAAAAGTGTTGAACACATAAAATCTAACTAAAATTAGTTGGGCCCACTGAACACATACAAAATCCAAATAATTTAAAACTGATTATGAAGTTTAAAACCATGACCAGTCCCAATTTGAGAGGCTGGCAGCTTGCAGAGGCAATGTAAGCACCAAAACTGCACCACTTCTACTACAATGAGCTGTAGTAAACAGTCTATGGGCCTCTCTGTCTTCCGAGTGTGAATCCGTTTGAGCCCTCTCCTAGAACCTACAGCTCGGATGTATAAACACTTAATCTTACGGAATTGGTTTAGTGCTGGAGTCCATGGGCGCCTTCCCTCCATTCAGTGTTAAGCAATTTTCAAGCTGTTTAACCCTTTTGCAACCTTATTACTGGTCATTATGCCATGAAAAGCATGGGTTTCCAAAATGTTAGGTCGTAATAACACATCCTTACTTGCATACTCACCGATCTGAATCCCATTGATGGACCTGCCTGGCTACCTGTGCAGGCCCAGCAGTCAATCAGTGCTGCCCTAGTCATGTGATTGTGGTGACAGGCTGTCACCGGAATCACTGTTACAATGTCACAGCCAATGAATTCAAACAGTACGTTTTAACACTTTCATGTAATAACACTGATCAGTTAACAAATTTAAACTTCTTTAGTTTAGAAAAACGTTGCCTGAGAGGGGATATGATAACTTTATACAAATATATTCGGGGCCAGTACAAACCATTGTGTGGAAATCTATTCACAAATTAGACTTTACATAGGACATGAGGTCGCACATTTAGGCTGGAAGAAAGGAGATTTAATCTAAGGCAAAGAAGAGGTTTTTTTTTTTTACTGTAGGAACAATAAGGATGTGGAATTATCTGCCTGAAGAAGTGGTTTTATCAGAGTCCATATAGATGTTCAAACAGCAACTAGATGCATACTTGCAAAAACAGAATAGTCAAGGATATAATTTTTCAATGTAGGGTACATTTGTGTGAAGCATTTGTGTTTGTATATAATTTTGGAGTTTAAAAGCAGGGGTGTGTTTGTATGTAATATTTGTGTTAGACTGCACATTGATTGTATGTTGTGTTGGTGTTTGACTGCAAGGACAATGACATATACACACAATCACACTATGACAGTTACATGCACCCTCACACACATACAAACACTGACATGAATACACACACCTTGACATAGAGAAGCAAACTGACAAATACACACAGATGCACACCCTGACACACACCCACACAATCTTACATAAACATACAAGTGATATTTTTTTATATCTCCGGCCACCCTCTTGGTAGCTTACTTTGTGCATCTAAAAGGGTGGCTTGAAGTCCTGGACCTGCTGCTGGTGGGAGTGAGGGATCTGGAGCTGCTCTTCGTGCTCCTCTCCCCTCTTGCCGAGGCTGCAATCTCACCAGTAGATAGATAGAGATATATATATATATATATATATATATATATATATATATATATATTTTAGAACTGGGTGCCTACAGTGTCCCTTTAAACTCAAAAGACTCTGTATGTGACTTGATTTACTGGTTGATAGTTATTGTCACATCCTGCGGAGATGTCTGGCCTTGGCTTCTGGTATCCAGTACTCTTTTTACAATTCTTGTTTCGTTTTTCATGTTTTTTCTGGTTTTCAATTCCATGTCTGGTTTTCTGGGTGCATTCCTGCATTCCGTTCCTGGAATTCCCAGTCTCCTGGATTCCTTTATATATGTTTGCTTTATGTTGCAACACCCTTTCCTTTTCCATTAATCCTTTTGTTTCAGTTGGTTCCTGCAGGCAGTTGTTCCAAGTACTCTGCCCTTTTCTTGCAGGTAAGTACTGTGTGTGTTTTATTATTGTTTATTTGGTCATGCATATCTAGGCAGTCTAGGATCCACCTTAATTGGAGTACTTTAACGCAGTGGTGGGCTGCGTACATCTTGGCCATTTATGTATGTCTAAATCTCCAATGTTTATTGCACATATTAGTACTTAGTTAGGTCTCCTCTTGTTTTGCCTTGTATCTCTTAGTCTGGTTTTATTTTGTCTTGTATTCCCAGTTCATGTCCAGTCCTGTCCTGCTCTGTTCTTGTTTTTCCTCATGTCTTGTGTACATGTTCTGGGTTCTGCTTTCTGCCTTGCTCCGGTTCTGGGTTCTTCTAGTCTTGTCAGGTGCCTGTTCGAGTCTTGCCTTGTTTCTAGTACTGGATACATATCTGCTGCAGAGCCTCCCTATTCAGATCCTGGGAGGTCTGCATATTGTCATCTGGCACCTGGGATCCGCAGAAGCTGCATCAGGGCCCTGGTATGTGGCCGCACAAACGCTGGTGCTCAACACCAGGGGGCGTGTGGTTATCATGCACCAGGCCCTGAGAATCCATTTCCACACAGTGACTCCTACTTTCAAGATCAGGCATACTGGGTCACCGGTCCGCCACCCCTGACAGTTATTCTGATTACTCTGTCATCTGTCTGTACCAACTACTCTGCTTATTAAATACACTGAACTCGGTCTGTCCCTGTATTTTAAAATGGCTACACCAAACAACTTTCAATACCCCATTTAGAATACCTTGGGCTGACTACTTTTGAATATGCTATGCCATAAAAGTGCCAGAAAATAAATCAAATTAACATGTATGAAGACAGAAATGGACAGGCTCTATCACTGGCCCTGTAATATCAAAAAACACCATAAAACCTGAACATGAGGGTTGAATTCGTGGGACATCATTTAATACAAATATAAGTGTTTTATAGCAGCAAAACAAAGAAGGATGATGATACAAACAGTGAAACAGCAGTGTGAAAAAGGGAACATACCCTTTCATGGCATACCATTTCCAAAAGGGTTAAGTTCTCTTTCCTTGGCTGCCACGCTGCCTCAAAGGCAATGTAGAACAAAACAATCAACTTGCCTATTATCCAAGTATGAAGACTGAGGCCCATTTCAGCCCTATAACTAACAAAAAACAAAAACAAACAAAAAACACCTGTACAAAGTGTGGTACTCATGGGACATTAAGGAGTCTAAATGTATGTTACATTCTATGATATTCACAGGGGGGTGGGGGATGATGGAATGCAGGACTTGGAAAAAAATAAAAATTTCTTAATTTTTCACACTTTTAGAATTTATTCTTACAACGAGATACTCTATGCACCAAAACAACTATGGCTTAATGAAGCAGTTTTAGTGTTCAGATCACGCTTCTGCAATCTCACCGCTCAATTCTCTGCCATATAGGAGTTACATCACTTTTGTTTCTGTTTATGCAGCCCTAGCTGTTACTAACAGCCTAAATGAAAAAAATAGTTTAGTTTTCAAATCATATATGTGAAAGAGCAGTTTTGGGCTTTAGAAGATGTTATCTCCTGCCCTGTTAGTTGAACTTGAAAGGGTGACTCCAACCACCATGACTACTTCAGTGACTTGAAGTGGTCATGGTGCAAGGAATCTGTATGTGCAGTATTTCACTTTGAAACACTGCACCTACAGAGATTAACCCTTTAGCTCCACCTCTGGCATAATCATGAGTGTCATCAGCAAGCCCAGACCTAGAGCTAGCTGGCTAATCTCAATTAAGTGCAACTATCGTTATTAAACTGGAGATAGATAATGATGAAATTATTGCAAGCAGAACTATGTGTTTCTAATGGTACAGAACAAAAAGAGTTCTGATAGAACTGTTAAACTAATCTGAAAATTTATTGTTCTATAAATGAAATCTTCATTTGGTTGGAAATATTAAAAATAATTATCACAGCCAGCAAGAATGAGTGTTTAAGTTTAAAAACTACGATTTAATTCAAATTCACGCTGTTGGCACACTTAAAACATTTAGAAACGCATTTAGAGAATAGCAGGAAGGGCAATAATAAATAAACAATCTCTTCTAACTCCTCTTTTTGCAACAGACTACACTTTTTTTTTTTTAAAGATTGTTGGGGAGATTTTACAAGCAAAGTGCTTTCTGCAAAGTCTCTCAGCATGCATGAATTGGAAAGTGCAATCTGTCAGGCATGTGGCATTTTTTGTACTGGTTTTTGTTTTGAGGTAAACCAGATAAGGCTGGCCCATTGTACAGCACTACAGAATCTGATGGCGCTATATAAATAATAGTTTGTCTGATCAGTGCATTATCTCCCCACCATATATTTTTTGTAGTCAACAATGCATTTTGTTTTTTCCATTGGTGCATCACTTCTGCTGGCTGACCCTTGAACTGCACTTTTATCATAAAGAATGGATTCCTTATTGATTCCAAATTTGGTTCAGATGCCTTGAATCCAGAGGTTAGAAGGCAGATTTGGGTAGGTGTGATACAAAACACAATAAAAGTAGGTATTATTTTTTTTCTTTTTTACCCAGGAGGGAAGGTATATAGCATTCAGATATGGGTTGGGGGGTACCGAGGTGGGATGGAAGGTGAGAAACTGTCCCCCCTCCTTAAAGTTCTTTCTTTAGATTTGTGAAAAATTAAATTGTGCATGATGGTGACCTAAGTTAGGTAGTAAGTAGAAGACTACAAGTCATTTTGGGCGCATACATATATACACACACACATACACCCTACTCCTTACCCTATCCATGTCCCTATCTTTCCCTAGTCATATATATATACACACACACACACACTAGGGAAAGATAGGGACATGGATACGGTCAGATAGGGTAAGGAGTAGGGAATCTTTTGGTCACAGAGATAAAGGCAGGGTTAGTGTAGGGAGAGCTCTTAGGGTAAGGTGAGGGATAGGCTCAGGATGAATTAGGGCCAGATAGAGGTTTTTCCTATAGACAATTAAGATACCCCCTAGTTTTTCTTGCCTACTATATGTTCTCTATACACCATATAGATTTAGTTTTCTGCCCGCCCCCCCATTTGTGTGTGTTATCTATTAAGTGTTACAAAATTGAAAAGAAGGGTCTTCTACAAAATGTAAAAAATTAGTAATTTGTACAAATGCTTTGTTAATGTAATTACCAAATTATTATTTTTTTAATAAAAAAAAAGTAAATATCGTGCAGGTTCCTCCTCATGCTGCCAAAACAGCGCTGATGTGCGGAGACATGGACTCCACAATACCTCTGAATGTGTCCTGTTTCTGGCACCAAAACATTAGCAGCTGAACCTATATATCCTTGTGATCATTGCTGCAGCAAAGGAGCACATGGAGCTTGGATCGGAATAGTGGTTCCAGTACATCCACAGTGCTCAATTGGGTCGGGCTCTGGGGAATTTCGAGGCCGTGGCAACACCTTCAACTCTTTGTAGTGTCCTTCAAACCATTACTGAAAATGTTTTAGCAGTGTAGCAGGGAGCATTATCCTGCTGAAAAAGTCCTCTACCATCAGGGAACACCATTGCGGTCTGCAACAATCTCTAGGTGGCACGTGTCAAAGTTACATCCACATGAATGCTAGGACCCAAGGTTTGTCAGCAGAACACAGCACAGAGCATAACCCTGCCTCCGCTGACCTTCCTTCTTCCCATAGTGCAGCCTGCTGCCATCTCTTCCACAGGTAAACAAAACCACCACCACACAGGCACCTATCCGATCTAAAAGAAAACGTGATTCATCGGGCCAGGCTATTCCACTGCTCCATGGTCCAGATCCAAGTCTCACATCCCCACTAAAAGCGTTTTTAGCAGTGGACGTGGGTGATCATGGGCACTCTGACAAGTCTGTGGCTGTGCAAAAAAACTGTTATGCACTGTGTGTTCTGACACCTTTCATGGGCAGCAGTATGTTTTTCAGCAATTTGAGCTACAGTAGCTCTTCTGAGATGGACCAGATGTGCTAGCCTTCACTCCCCACATGCATCAATGAGCCTTGGGCTCCCATGAACTCAACACCAGTTCACCTGTTTCCCTTCATTGCACCACTTTTTTTTGGTACCAACTACTACATACTGGGAACACCCCACAAGACTTGCCGTTTTGAAGATGCACTGATCCAGGCGCCTAGCAATCAGGTATGGCCATTGTCAATGGCACTCAATTTTTTTTCTTTTGCCCATTTTTCCTGCTTCCAGCACATGGAATTCAAGAACCGACTGTTCCCTTGCTGCCCAATTTATCTTACCCATTGACCGGTGCCATTGTAACAATATTATCAATGTTATTTACTTAACATGTCAGTGGTTTTAATGTGGTGGCCTATCAGTGTGTTGTTACACAAGCATGTAGCTCAAAAATTCTAGTGTTTGTTTTGGTTCAGAACCTGGACAATTTACTCCATCTTTAAAGGGCTTAAACTCTTTAAAAAAAAAAAAATTTAAAAAAAATAAAGAGTCTCTAGTATAGCTAAAGCAGAGATTGCAGACTTCTTTCAAGCCACACCAATTCATACCAGCAATGGGTGCTGTAATTTATTAAATCAAGCAGTCAGCTGGGACTCTTAACCAATCAGAGCTCCCTACTGCTGCGCAGGCTAATGCTTCCTCATTAGAACAAATAAAAAGGGACGGGCTGCTGGGGAATCTTGTTTAGCATTAAAAACAGTTTAGTTTAGAGTGAAGATGTTGCCAGGGGACGACACTATAACCACTTCAATGAGAAAAAAACAAACAAACAATTACAGTGCCCTAACTTGATTAACCACCCCAAGTTTAGGACACTGCACAGCAATGATAACTTGTTACCAGATACCTAGGTCTATTATCATCATTGAAAGTTGGACAAGCTAATAGGAGGTTTTTGCTAGTGCCTCTTTAACTCCTTCACTATCGAGCACTTTTCGATTGAACAAAATATTAGCATTACATATATTCAATGCAACGGATGCATAGCTAACATGTAAACATAACATTTTAGTGTATAGAAAGTTTTAAGTTTGTCAACAAAGCAATGTAAATTGACACAATTGTTTAACTGGTCATCCTTTACAACAACAACAAAAAAATGGGGGGGGGGGATGCTTTAGAGAGAGTATACAGATTCCTTTATCTTGCAATATTTCACACAAGGTCTCAAATCTTTGTATAGAGATAAGGGATCTGAAGTACATGCTTACTAAAAATGGTAATAAATTTGAAAATGTCTGCATTGAAGCAACACAGTAAATATATAGTTTAAAAATTTATTAAAAAAAAAAAAAAAGTGTATTTACAGCAGGGCTAGGCAACCTTCAGCACTCCAAATGTTGTTAACTATATCTCCCATTTATGCAAAATGCATAAAAAATATTTAGACTCTACTTTGATGTTGAAGGGGTAACAAGTGTCACCAATAGTTTACTTTGCAGTTCCCGGACATTGTATACGGATATTATAAAATATTTATAATATATGTATATATTCACACATTTACCTACACGCATTTTAACACACATCAGTACCTCTGCAGTATACTGTGGAATATGTCAATACTGCAGAACAGGAATACGGTTTACCATAGATCTAAAAAGGGTTTTTTCTTTATTTATTTTTTAAACCATTGATAGTGTTACATTTTAAATGTCTGTTCACCCTGTGTCTAATCCAAAGCAATATTATCTGTCTGAATCATGTAATACGACTAGTGAATTCTAAGTCACCAATCTAAAAATACAGATTGCCCAGACATCATTGGTACTTTAGATTGAGCATCCACTACCTGAAGCCCAAATGTCATAAAATGCTGTAGGGGGGGAGAGGGGGTAGTGATGGGGTAGTGATGCTGTTGGGGAGTATATCAATGGAGCAATGTGATGACTTGCCTTTGGTACTCTCTCTATCTCTGCAATATGATGGCTCCCACCATGTCTAGCCATCACTGCCCTACATGGATTCCTATAGGCAGTGCCTTGCTATTCACACTGGACCATCTATCCCTGCAGTATGTCAGTGTACACTATCTGCCTGATATCCTACACGTGTATATGGGGGGGATAAGGTGATACAATAGGTAGAGCCATGGGGGAGGGTAAGTCAGGGACGGTGATACCAGGGTGGGGTCTGTCGCGCCGTATCGCGTCATATCGTGCCTCCTTGCACTCACCTGGTTGCCGGGGGCGTGCTCGCACACTCCGAGCCCCTCCCAGTCACCGCGGTTGAGGGGGTCCTTATCGCGATACACAAGCCTGATTTTAGCGACCGCCGCCACCTCCTCCTCCTAGAGATCGCGTCTCCGCTGGACTTAACCCAGCCCACCGAGAGGAAAGCTAGCGGCGTTCTGATTGGCTATCGGGTGAGATGACGTCAAACGAAACGCGTTTCCCCAACAGATTCTGATTGCACAAGAGGCTAAGACCCGCCCTCGAACCAATGGGACCGCCTTGCGGCCCAGGCTATTTCCGGGATCAGTGCGCTTACGCGATTGGAGAGCCGAGCCCTACGTCAGTCACTGACCCTGAGCTATAATTGGTGAGAGGATCCTGCGACGCAATGTGATCGAAACACTAGAGATAGAAAGTTGTATGTGGGTCACGGATCCATGCAGCCATTTTACGGGTTCAGACATTCAGCCCTGGAGACACATTTTGGACCAGCCATTGGCTGTCTTCGTGTTTAGAACACTAGGCTGACAGTATTATGGTCTTTACATGCAGTGCTCACCATTACTGTCTGTCTGCGTCCAGACCAAGGAGAACCCACTCCCTCGGTTATTCATTAGACACCACGTTATAGAGAGAAACATTAAAGGACCACTCTAGGCACCCAGACCACTTCAGCTTAATGAAGTGGTCTGGGTGCCAGGTCCCTCTAGGATTAACCCTTTTTTTTTTTTTTTATAAACATAGCAGTTTCAGAGATACTGCTATGTTTATGAATGGGTTAATCCTTCCTCCAATTCCTCTAGTGGCTGTCTCATTGACCGACGCTAGAGGCGCTTGCATGAATCTCAATGTGAAAATCACAGTGAGAACACGCAAGCGTCCATAGGAAAGCATTGTAAATGCTTTCCTATGAGACCGTCTGAATGCGCGAGCAGCTCCTGCCAGCGCGTGTGCATTTAGCCGAAAGGGAGGAGAGCTCCCCGCCCAGCGCTGGAAAAAAAGTATGTTTTTACCCTTTCCTCTTCCCAGAGCCAGGCGGGAGGAGGTCCCTGAGGGTGGGGGCACCCTCAGGGCACTATAGGGCCAGGAAAACGAGTATGTTTTCCTGGCGCTATAGTGGTCCTTTAAGCTAAAATGACAGCCTTGTCAGGGTGTTAAAGAAACAGTGTAGGCACCCAGACCATGTCATCTCATTACCGTGTCTGTTAAATTACAATGTTTACATTGCAGGACTAGAACTGTCTTTAGAGGCGGGATACCGTGTCAGTGAATGCACGCTCTGCGTGAGGCCATACCGTGTCAGTGAATGCACGCTCTGCGTGAGGCCATACCGTGTCAGTGAATGCAGGCTCTGCGTTAGGACATACCGTGTCAGTGAATGCAGGCTCTGCGTTAGGACATACCGTGTCATTGAATGCACGCTCTGCGTTAGGCCATACCGTGTCAGTGAATGCACGCTCTGCGTTAGGCCATACCGTGTCAGTGAATGCACGCTCTGCGTTAGGCCATACCGTGTCAGGGAATGCACGCTCTGCGTTAGGCCATACCGTGTCAGTGAATGCACGCTCTGCGTTAGGCCATACCGTGTCTGTGAGTGCACGCTCTGTGTTAGGCCATACCGTGTCAGTGAATGCACACTCTGCGTTAGGACATACCGTGTCAGTGAGTGCACGCTCTGCATTAGGCCATACCGTGTCAGTGAGTGCACGCTCTGCATTAGGCCATACCGTGTCAGTGAGTGCACGCTCTGCATTAGGCCATATCGTGTCAGTGAATGCAAGCTCTGCATTAGGCTATACCGTGTCAGTGAATGCACGCTCTGCATTAGGACATACCGTGTCAGTGAATGCACGCTCTGCATTAGGACATACCGTGTCAGTGAATGCACGCTCTGCATTAGGACATACCAAGTCAGTGAATGCACGCTCTGCATTAGGACATACCATGTCAGTGAATGAGGACCTAATGCGCATGCGTCGGAGGGGGCAGAGCACTGAGCGACATTGGCTCTGGAACCTGATGAGTAAATCTAATAAGTCCATCTTTTATTGTCCATATTTAATACTGTGGATCAATAAGAAGTCAAAAAAACTAAATTGTTTTATGTCACAAAAAGGGTGGCATGGGGAAGAATCCTTCTTGACTCCATATAGGAAATTAGATTTCTCCTTGGATCAACAACCTGTTTACATACATATGGCACTCCGTACAAATATACTAAAAACAATAAAATAAATACATTTGGAGCATCTCTGTTAGCATATGATCTTGCAAATCCGGGCACTGCCATGATGTGGTTAGCTAGGAGGCATCTACTCGCTAACACCATGGCAAGTGGCAAATTAGGGATTATTCTAGCCCTAGTGACTGAATAATCTAAATTTTATTAACGACAGGAGGCGAATATTTGCTTATCTTTCTTTACTGAACCTCCCAGCAGCAAATAAATAGTTAACAATAGTGTAAAAACAATTCAACCAATCAGAGTGTATAACAGTATTATATGATGTCATCAAACTCCTCCCAAGTCCTCTTTCTTGCTGTAGCCGACGATATCCGAGTATCAACCATGTAAACTATAACTATGAACCGTGACCAATCCAAGGTCCTGATGTAGTCAACCATGTAAACTTTCAACGGGATTGATGAATCCATATATCACAAGCATTGGGATTCTTCACACTAAAGGGAAGTAGAGAAAAAAACCATGAGAGTATAGGTTCTCATACTAGTTGAATGCAAGTTTATGGCATGCATACTAGGGACAGCAATTTCAATAGATTTTGAGTATGTCAAACTCTTGGTTAGAGTGTTGTGATGTAAACCTATGAAAGATGATGTGTGAATGTGTTTGAAACAGATCGACTAGAAAAAATTTTTTTAGTAACTTACCTTAGGGCGGGTATAAATGATAATGAAAAACAAAGAAGGGAGGGAAAATATTCGCCTCCTGTCGTTAATAAAATTTAGATTATTCAGTCACTAGGGCTAGAATAATCCCTAATTTTATGGCAAGACAGGAGGCTTCATATATGCTGTTTTAACGCTCTTATATGATAGAAGATGCAGCATGTGGCATAGGTTTGAAATAGAATGTACGAAAGGTGGATTCCCTGGTCCAATCTGCAGATGACAATGTCTGAGAGGGAACTACCCGCACGAAAGGCTGAGGATGCGGCTGCTCCTCTGACTGAATGCGTTCCAAATGAGGAGTCAATACCTGCTTGGGCTAGTATCCATCTGATCCACCGCGCGACGGTGGGAGCGGACACCGGTTTGTGTGGTCTGACATAGGAATCGAGAAGGGGTCCTGTAGGGGAACGCAGAGTGGTTGTGGCATCTATATAGTGCCTTACACAGAGCGCCACGCAAAGCGACTGTGTATTTGGAAAGTAAGGGTAGAATACATAGGACGAAAAAACTACAGTGTGGAAATCAAATGCTCGAATGTCGGAGACCCTACGGAAGGATACCAGACATAGGAGTAAGGCCAGTTTGGCAGAGAGTTGACGTAACGTCAAATTCTCATTAGAGGGCCAGGAGTCTAAAAGGGAAAAAACCTGAGTGACGTTGCAGAAATTGGAATATCTTGGAAGAGGGGGTCTGGCTAGCCTGATCCCTTGTAAAAGTCTACAAACTGAAGGGTGTTTTCCTATTGATGCATTGTCAATAGGGTTGTGGGCCGCAGAAATAAAAACATTAATTGATCTATAGGACTTGCCTTGATCAAAGAGAGTAGATAGAAAATTTAGGATGATCATCAGAGGTGCTGAAAAGGGATCGGTATCCCTTTCCAAACACCAGCTGACCCATGTCCGCCATGCAGCGAGGTAAGCTCGTCTAGTGCCATATGTATGGAGCGGTCTCTGAAAGTCCCGAGACATTCCAGGATCCCCTGAAACGGTCCAAGCTACAAGCTAGAGCTGCCCTTGAAGGGCGAGTGGGTGACAGTGCCCTGCTGGATTCTTGAGGATGTCGGGGGATCGAGGTAGTAGAATTGGACAATTCACAGACAGTTCTAGCAGGGTTGGAAACCAAGTCTGGGCTCTCCATAGCTGAGTGACAATAACTATTGTCACTACTAGGGCTTTGACCCGGTAAAGGGTGCGTTGGATCATGGAGAAAGGCGGGAACGCATAAGCTCCTGTCTCCGGCCAAGGGTGTAGGGAGGCATCGACTGCCCAGGACTGGAGATCTGGGAGCCAGCTGAAAAAGGGCTTTGTCTGGCTTGAGTCAGCCGAGACGCGATCAGGTCCAGTGTGAGGGGCCCGCAAAGACAATGAATTTGATAGAACAAGCGGGGATCCAATTGCCAGTCGCTTACGTCTCTCCAATGACGAGAGAACCAATCTGCGACTAGGTTGTCCATGCCCGGAAGATATTCTGCTCTGATGGATAAATTCCGCTCTAGGCAGAATTGGTAGTGTGATGCTTTTGTGTAATACCTCTTTAATTGGAACTCAACTGCAGAATTTTCTGAGGGCAGGAACAGTAAGTTTCACCTCCTATTATATTGGAGTGAAATCAGTGGACTGTATCTTTAAATAATAATCAGGAAAATGCCAAGTTAGTTCCAACTTGAATTTTAATAATGAAGTTTTAGCCTTAGCAGCAATCCTTATTTGTCAACAGAGAGTTTAAAGAAATTAAATACTATAATCAATTGATATGACTTGCTTTCCTTGACAAAAGATTTACTTAACTTAGAAGCACTCTGGCACTGGAAGGGTTAATTCACCCAATGGAGGAAGAGGAAGGAGTCTCTTTTAACAAACTGCAGTTTAGTAGTGAGAGAAAGGAAGTCCGTTTGTCCAAGCCGAGGTCTGAGAGAGGAGAAGGTAGCATCGAGTAGAGCAGCTGATCTCACTGCCGCACCTGAGTGAATAATCCAGCCCTTTGAATCTGGCGCGGTCTTCCTAAGTATCGTGGAAGGACCGCGTCAGAGAAAGGGGCGGGGCTAAGCGCCGTGAACCCGGTAGTGGGTTCCGGCGGCAGCATGAATGATAGAGTATACCTGACAGTACCCCCTTCTCATGGGGCATCCTCTGGGTGCACTTACTTTGGTTTAGAGGGATAGCGTTTGTGAAAAGCATCAACTAATCTCTTTGCATGAACATTAGATGAATCTTCCCAGGTATCTTCATCAACTCCATAACCTTTCCATCTGATAA